ATCCAAACCGTAAATAGGTAGATACAATTCATTTCAATTATTTATTTTCGATTTTAATTATTAACAAGACAGGTTGTTCTATTTAAGGTCTTTTTTTACTGTTATTTTATTTATTTTTACCCGATCTTAATTATTTATATTTTATTTTAAGTTTTAAATTAAATTAAAATGATTTGATGATGCATGGTAATGGAATATTGTTATGATTTTAATTATTATTTGAAAGAAAAGTTGTATCTATTATCATCTCTGTATTATTATTATTTTTCGTTATTCTATGAATTTTTGTAACAAATATGGGACCTTGTCCCTGCAATAAAGGAATCATTATTATTATTATTATTATTAAAAAATAACATTAAAGCTAAATAAAATAGTTATCTGGACCCCATTATCGTTTTACTAAAGTATTTTTTTTGGGCTGCTTCTTGACGCTGTGGCTCGTGGTCAAATAAATGTAGGTATATTTAAAATATATTAACAAGCAGTCTACAAAAATTAAATTAAACATGTAAAATACAGTTTTTACCAACTTTGTTTTCTTTTTAGTACTCCATTTTAAGCAAATATGGCGCATGAAAGAATATCATTCTTGGAATACTTATTGATTGTGTTAGAAGAGCAGATATCTTAAACTTTAAAACAATGGACGACACAGGATTTATTCCTAATGCGGGAGTTGTCTTTTTAAAAAAAAAAAAAAAAAATATGGGCATTATATATTACATATGTCCGTGTGGTGACGGATAAAGAATACAGAGTGTCACTACTTCTATTTATCCCGTGGGTGTCGTTAGAGCCGACTAAGGGAACAAACTACGCAACACAATAGCCCGCACTGCAAAGAGAAGAAAAACTTGAAACAAACTTTATACCAACCCGTCTGGCCATAGTGATATAGTAGGCCAAAACCTCTTTTCTAAGTAGAGATACATGTCCAGAATTGGTATATTAGTGTGTTACTGTGATGTGATTAGATACATAAATATACAAACAAATTGCATTAGTTACTCCTTATATAGACAGCTACCTGGTAGTAAAATATTATCAAAATTGGTCCAGCCATTTTGAAGATTACCTGGAACAAACAGACAGGCAGACAAAAAATATTTAAACTGGTTTTCAGGCATAGGAATCATGCAAATACCCGTGTGAGCATGATAAAACCTACGAGTATTATTTTGACATTACAAACAGACACTTCAATTTTATTTATTTGTATAGATGAGGAGGCAAACGAGCAGACGGCTCACTTGATGGTAAGTGACTACCGCCGTCCATTGACACAATAAACTCAAGAGGCACAAGTGAGTGGGCATCCTTTGAATCCCTGCCCCCCCTCTAGAAACCAAGGGGTTTGGACACCGGTAACCTCATTTAGACCTCAACTCACCGGACTGGTTTTCTATAATGGTATCTATCACTCTTAAACCAAACCAAACAAAATACACATTAATGTATTATATCACATTGAGTCACATATTTTACAAATGACGAGAGCGTATGAGATTGTGTAGATTACTCACATGCGACTCATTTTTTTGTACACATGACATTAAGCCGTGTGGTGACGGATTAAGAATACGGATTGTCACTACCTCTATTCATTTTTTTTTTTTTTTTCCGCGCGGAAATCCCCTGGGATGATCCCCTGTCGGTGGCATGTCGGACCTCGAACCGACTAAAACCGCACGCCGTCTCGGGTACTAATAGCCGGGGAACCAGGTATACCCTAGAAAGGAAGTCCCTGGTGCCCCGACATACCTCGGGTCATCTACAGACGAGTAGACGACCCCCCCCGTGTGGGAACCCCATGTTCCCTGTGCTCCCTGGAAGCGAGCGCGCATCGCAACGCGCTCCCTGTCACCCCCAGGCCTGCGCTTATGGAGGACGGAGGTCGTTCTGCGCCCATTTGACCAGCCTGTTGGTCTAGTGGTTGGTGGCAATGACTGCTACGCCAGAGGTCGTCAAATAATTGTCTGATGAGCATTGTCGTTTGTTCTGTGTCTGGGTGTACTTTATCTATAATATGTATGTATTTAGAAATATATAAGTATGTTTATCAGGAGTCTGGTTACCATAGTACAGGCTCTGCCAAGTTTCGGACCAGACGGCCGTTTCGAGAAGTGTAAAAATCGTAATATTATATATCTATCCCGCGGGTATCGTCATTCGAGCCGAATCATCATCAACAGCCTTTATTAGTCCACTGCTGGACAAAGGCCTCTCCTTAGAAAGGAGGTTTTGAAATAAAATTATGAAAATTAAAATTACTTAGAGTAACTTAACGTTTTCTTGCATAGCAGTCGGGTTTTTGTTTTATTTTAGAATTCGCTTGTTGAACATTTGTTTCATCAACCGATCATTGTTTTAAGATAAGCATGTCTGCAGTTTTAGAACACGTACCAGTCCAAATAATTATCATTTAAAAATATTAAAAAAGATAGCAATATTTACAATTTATCTGTTCATGACACTGATTAAAATGTTTCTTAAGTGGAAGTACACCGTTCTTCAGGCTAGTGAACTTTAATCTAATTGCAAACTCATTATAATGTAAATGTAAAGGCCGGCGAATATAACGATCTCATAGGAAATCAACATTTAGCTATTGCCAAATATAATATTATATTATATCTTTATATATACATTTTTTCTGTGTGTGTGTGTGTGTGATTAAACTTCTCCCAAACGGCTGTACCAATTTTGATGACAATTTTGTGTGTTCTAGCGGCTTCGAGAATAGTTTAGATTCACAATTCGTTTCAGATTTTAGTATAAAACGTGTGTACAGGACAACGTCTTTTGGGACAGTTAGTTATTTTATAATATACTAGCTGACACGCGCAACTTCGTCTGCGTCTCTCAATAGTAATAAATTTTCTCCGTTTTTGAAACATTCTTCATTGGTGCTCCGCTCCTATTGGTCTTAGCGTGATGATATATAGCCCATAGCCTTCCTCGATGAATGGGCTATCTAACACTGAAAGAATTTTTCAAATCGGACCAGTAGTTCCTGAGATTAGCGCGTTCAAACAAACAAACAAACTCTTCAGCTTTATAATATTAGTATAGATTGCTAAGCTATAAGCGTCAAAAGCAGCTATATTGCTTAACACATAATATTTCTTTTAGTGACCGACCGAAATTTCGGTTTCGGCCAAAAAATCTAGAATCGGTTCGAGTTTCGAAAAGTGAAAGTTTCGGCCAAAAACTCATTGCTCGTAAAGTGTTTGGCGTCGTTCGGTTAACTTCGCGGCTGAATAGTGGACATGGACTTTGGCTCAGTTTGCCGCCATCCAGTGCTATTTTTTTTTATGGTAAGCAAGCAGACAGGTCGAATAATGGTAAGTAACTACCACCGTCCATGGACATCTGCAGCTTAAGAGTCACCCGTGCATTGTCATTTCAGTCCCTCCCCCCCAGAATCTGAGAAAAAGGGAGGGTTTAGGCTCCGGTAACCTCTCTTACTCGGTGAAAAGCAACGTAAGAACTGCTTAACACAGGTTTTCTTTGAGTCCCTGACATTACTCCGGTCGAGCCTGGCCTATATGGGCCGTGGCATGGCTCTCCTACTACTAACTCATCTTGTTACCTGTGTTTTACGCATAAATAGTTTTGTATTAGTTTTCTTTTTACTTGTAACTAAAATTAGTGCTAATTCTGTTGTTCGAAAACTCTCTAAACTAAAAACCACTAAAATTTATTAACGTTTTCAGAATACGAAACGCTGTTTGGCAGGACTAAACAATTTTTTAGTGATTTTTAGTTTAGTTTAGAGAGTTTCCAACAACAGAATTGGCACCATTGTTTCATCTCAAAAGCGATTATTAGGTATAGAACTTTATTTTGTTGAGTTTTATTTAAATATTAGTAACACATAAAAGAGATTATGTTCGATTCAGATATTACTTAGGCTGTGTTACAGACCGTTTTTCAAAACTCAAGAAATGCTTGAGCGTACTAATAGTTTTATAAGGCCAAAACTAACCTCATGCATTTCTGGAGTATTTTTTAGGTTTATTTGTTTCTAGATAGTTAATATTGTTGAATTACATTCTGTACCCTTATTTTACCCTTTTTAACAATCCAAAAAGTTAAAATACGTGTAATCTTCAGTTGCTTAACTTTACCTATGTGAAAACGCGTATAGTCCGTTGAAATAACCTAGTGAGCCATCTCGCCCCGTCCTTTCCCGCCTATCGCGTGAGGTACCTAGTTAATTTAGACAAGTGAATTTCTAGTATTTAGTAGCTAGCTACATATTTATTTTATCTACCTACCTAAATGCATTTTCTCTTATTTAGAATTGAATGCCGTGTGTCTAACTTATTACAATGGTTTTAGGTGGTATGTAGGTAAGCAGATACTCGTAAATGTCTAAAAAAATACACTAGTATACAGTCGAAGTTTTAAAATATTAGTTTGAGTTTCGGTATCAGCCGAAATTGAAACAAGGGTTGAAGGTTCGATTTCGGTTTCGGCTGAAAAACCTGTTTCGGTCGAAAACTAATTTCTTTTACCTAACTGTGGGGTGAGGAGGATGGGGGGTCACTCGAAGCGTGGCACTTGTGACTCTTCAGTTGCAGGTATTCATGGGTGGCGGTAATCACTTACCACTAGGTGACTAAAGTCTGCTCGTTTGGCCCCAATTCCATAAAAAACTTATTAAGATGTCCTAAATAAATATAAAACTAAAAAATAAATAAAAAATAAATTTCTTATTTAAACATTGCTATAATTATATTTATTTAAGCACCTCCTTCTTAAAATTGATTAAAATGACTTGTAATTTGTATGATAAGATAAGATAACAGTTGTGTTGTGTGTGTTACTATTTATTGCTTTCAGATTGTTCGGTGATGTGTAACGCTTAACTCTGACATAAACATTATATATATTATTACAAACATATGTCTTAGTGGTAACGACTTGGTTGCTGTCTGATGAATCTTATGGAAAATATTTTGTGAAGTGTCTAAAAGTGTAAATAATAAAAAATGCCTTTAAGACAGAAAACTGTAGAGCAGGCCTTAGATTTGGCAGGTAATGTATTTCTAGAACATAGATATTTTGGACTTACTTGATATTTCAGGACTGACTTCAATACTTGTGTCAAAGATATGAAGAAAGAAGAAAGCTCAGACTTCTCGCCGACAGCCAGTTTGGGTGAAAGGCTAGTGATCTCGACGTAGCTACGATTCACCCATCATCAGCTATTTACCATCCACGGTATTACTATCAGGTGACCCAACTACTAATTGGCCCTTTTATACCATAAAAAACATCATCATCTTCCCGGTCTTTACCTAATTTTATTCAGGATCAATTCCAAGGGGTTTTGGCTGACTTCATTTGTGACCAGTCGTTAGCTTGACGCTAACTCTAACTGGAAATACAAACTTTCACATGGTCATTGATAAAAATGTCAATTGGAGTAAGGACATCAGATATGAAAAGGAACTAGCGTAAGTTATACCACTATACTAGTCTCGGATGAGAATACAGAACTGAGATCGAAGCAGCTGACAGATGCTGGCATCGATATCAGTACACGATCCTGGGATCGTGTACTCATACGTTCGTCCAATGACTCGAGAGGGTATTAAAGACATCAGCTGAACTCCTAAATCCAACCATATAAGCTATATCAGTTTCCAAAATACCCAGCGAACGGTAATAGTCTAGCCCACTGTTATTCATATGTAATGGAATCACATTATCTCATCGTATCACATGCGTGGGCAGAGGCAATTTAAATATCTACTTTTTATTAATATAATTTTGCTCACAATAACGTAATGGAAGGTGATAAGCTTATTGATGGCTCTTTCGATACCATGATTTAGTTTCTGTCAATCCAATGCTCAACAAGGATTTTCAACGATATTTCAACGATTCATCCTATCAAAGGAATAGACAGAAGCATACCAAATAGCCACAATTTGCTAATTACGATTTAATCCATTTAATGTGTAGTGGGTGATAAGATTATTGATTGATGACGTCTTCGATACAGACGACTACGAAACTCTTAACGTACGTCAAAGTACCCGATCTATAACATCAATAAATTATTGTCTCTTTTGTGTAAGTTATTATCTCCGGAAATCGTTCATAAATCATTGATTTATGACACACATCTTAGAGTGATAAAGATTACAAAGTTTCGTTGAGAACAGTCTTTCAAGCAGTGATTACTTATTGCTGAGAAAAGAATCGTTCATGTGGATTAAGAATACGGAGTGTCACCACCCCTATTCATCCCGTGGGTGTCGTATGAGCCGACTTAGAGAGCAACTACAGGACAAAGCTCCGCCGCTCACTACTACGCTGAGTGTTGTGATCCGATCCCCACATGGGACGATAGACAAATTGTTGTTCTGAGTCTGGGTGTTCTTTGTGTCCGTTTCATGGATGTATGTAAAGTTCCTCGCGACACATGATATGTTCCTAATGCTGGAGTTGTCTTTTTTTTTGGAGAAAGAACATTTCATTAATATTTCTTTCTAGATTTTTTACAATACTATTTCTATCAGTGCAATTATCAATACACATACTACCCGATCAATGAGAAATTATATTATGAAATTACTCTGAAGTGTATAGACTTACGTTGATATGATTTAAGTTTTGAAAACTCGTGTAGTCAATAAATGTTTTTTTTTCAGGTTTTTCTAAATATAACCTGTACTTATTCCTGTTCTACGGATTGGCCATCCTTACCATGACCTTTGAGTTCTTTGGCACATTCTACATAATGCCACCCATGGCAAGGGAGCTTGGTGTCTCCGATTTCCAGCTGGAAATTTTAACTCAAGTATTGACTGGAGGTAAGCATATTTTAAATAAATAGAATAAAGAATTATCTGGTTTAATCATTCAAAAATTTAAGTTTTTATGTTTGCCGTTAAGTTTTCATGTATCACTGCTGCCCTGATAGAGTGTTAATTGTAACAGAATATGGGTGGAAATTTTTCTGGTAGTTACTGTGCAAGAGTTTGAATCAGATGTGTATTTTGTTATTAAACATAGCCTGAAACTAATTTCATAAAAATAACTTAATTAGTAAGGTGATTAGTTTGAAATTTGGACAAATATACTTAACAAGACCTGTATTTGAGCTCTCTTATGCTAGCACTTGAAATTAACTTCCTGAGATTTGTCATTAAATGTGATTAACATTTCAATACAAATCACTATCTCTATCTCATCTATCTACTATTATTAATATTTAATTTAAGATGATCTTATATCGGTTTAATAATGAATGTTTTTGAATACTTACACTGTAATTTTAATTTTTCCAGGACTCTTCGCATCTTCTAAAATATGGGCACACATATCAGACACCAGAGGCAGGAAGAAGGCACTGAGGATAGCGTTGACAATGAGCTTTTTATTTGGTACTTTTGCTGCTTTCTCGCCCCACTGGATCGTTCTAGCTGTTATTAAATTAGGGTCTGCAGCTGGGTAAGTGTGACATCTCTATTTATATGTCATTAGTAGGTTTATATCAGATCCCTATTTAAGTTAGGACAGGTCTAAGAATGTCTAAGGTTTGATAGCCTAGACGGATTTGACAGAAATCACTATAATAATAATAATAAAGCAGTCGTATACAAAACTTTGGTTTTTTTTTCTTTAAAAGACAACTCAATATATCCTGTGTCTCGGGGACTTAACAAACATACATTAAACGGACACAAAGAACAACCTGACTCAGAAAAACAATCTGTGAATCACACAAAGTGTTGTCCCATGTGGGGATCGGACCCATAACACTCAGCGCCTACTACTACGCCTACTACCTAACCCTAACGCCTAACTACGCCATCCGTGTAGTAATTTCATTTTCTCCAAAGTTTTGTATACGACTGCTTTATAAATAAGTAAGTTTACCGAAATATTACTCAGGACAAAGTCTATTGTGTACATGTGAAAAAACCGTATCATATATAATAGCTTCTAGTTATAATAGAATTTTATTAAATTATTGTGATACTACATTTTTAATTGTAGTAACATCCTTATGTTCTAGTGTTTCCGGTACATTTGTATCTTCTTTTCCGTTGCTCATCGAATGTACTCCGAAGGCAAAAAGAAGGGCAGTGGTAACATTGAGCACCAGCACTTTTTTGGTGGCTTTAGGGACGATGGCAGGTATAAATAATAAGTTCAGTTTTAACTTGTTTGTCCAAATATATCATTTCACGAAACGATATAATTATTTTGACAATCATGGAAATCGTTTTTTTCATATTAAAACGTTTTTAATTGAATAGACATTGGTGCAAGAAAGGGCTTGAATGAGTAAAAATACATTTAACAAGCTTTGTACTTATAAATGTTTTCAGTTTTTTTTTCAACCTCGGCAATATTAATTTTTCACACATAAGTGCGTTAAAAGGCTGACGATTTAGACTGGTCTGGGAGATTAGACAACGTACTTCCCAGTTTTATTATTTCTACTAATAACATTATATAAAATGTAATGAAAACTTAACCGACATTGCCGTTTTTTCGAGAGGTTATCTTGAAGTTGCTTCGCTTACCTGAAAACCTTTATTATACACTTTAATGGACAAGTAATAATAACCAGACTCCATTTTCTTTCTTTTCAGTTTTGTCATTTGCTATTCTGTCACTCAGGTTCTCAAGCTACATCCCAGGTTTAGCCATTTACTTCACATCCTGGCGATTGCTGTGTTTGCTTTTTGCATTGCCTAGTATCTTCTGTATAATTGGAATGAGATACGTGTTCGAGAGTCCAAAATATTACCTCACTCTAGACAATGAAGCAAAGGCTCTGGAGGTATTAAGAGGGATGTACCAAATAAATTCAGGAAGAAGTGTCGAGAATTACAAGGTTGAATAATTTTATACGATTAATCAAAGATATACTTTAACTTTAAACTTAAGCTGTACGCCCCCAAAACAACCTTACAGGCCTTACTAACTATTAAAGTATCACGTTCCATTGCATATAATTATGGTTATGGAAATTAACCGTTTCGACAGGTTTATAAGTATGTTTACAGGAATTAACGCGGTCACGTTAGGTATTAAGTAAATACCTTTGTCTGACATTTCGACCAGGTTGCACTGACCGCTGTGTAAAACTGTGACCACGGTCAGTGCAAACTCTGTATTTTGAGGAGACCCCTATTCCCGGGGGTGTCGTACTAAATATACAGGACAACGGCACTGCAAAGTTAACGAAAACGAAACAAACCCGTCTGGACATGAGCCCCTCCTTACAAAGGAAGTTCTGGTCTAGTAGGCCAAAACTTCCTTTGTAAGGAGCGACTCATGTCCAGCTGTGGAAATTTAAAAGCTGTTGATAATGATGTGTTTTTATTGGGAAGTTTTAATCATCATCAGTAACTATGAATGTTAATCAGTGATTGCGATAGCTGAAAATGGTGATGACACATGACAGATTACGAACCTAGGGTGCGTCATTCATTTTGGAGTTGTTGCTATCTCAGTCTCGCTTTCCCATTGCTCTATTCCTTATTCTAGCTTCTCGCCCTATCCGTTAAACTTACTCTAATTTGCTTTCTTCCCTTTTTCTATTAGAAGAAGAATTCATTCCTAGGGAGGGTTCTCATTGGGCACAAAGTCGGCTTTAAAACTCTTTTCAACGCAATGTATATCAAACATCGAAAAAAAAAATAAGATAAGGGCAGGAAAATTATGAACATCATGATGTTGTTGATAAAACCTTATAACCTTTAGAATATTTTAAAATACTCTCCAATAAGTGTGCTTACATAGCCTGCATCATATGTAATTATTAGAAAAATAGTTTTTTTCTTAATCTTTGCTTATTTTATTTCAGCTCAGTACAGTAATTTTGGATGAGGACAACATATCCACGAAGGACATGAAATGTTTAAGATCATTTTGGACTCGTCTTCGTAATATTTTCAAGAAGCCACGTATGGTTTATTTTACACTGGTGATGAAATCTCAAGTCGCTTGCTACGTTAGGTAAGGTGTTTTCATAAAGGTTTATGGAAAATGAGCTAACTTGGTTTAATTTTGTGATTGAAGTATAAATACGTATTTTGCTGTTCCAGCCTAAGGTTATACTCGTAGGCTCGTTGAGAGCAAACAGTTGTTAAATGGGTTTATTAAAAGGGGCGATTGTTTATAGTTTACGCGATTTTCGCCCTTCTGAACAAATTTGTTTTTTTTGCATTTTTTTCACCAATTGAGCAAATTGCATAAGACTAGACATCGTTTATATTAAAAAAATAGCTACCTACTATTACTTTTGAACTTATTTACGTCTTTTTAAAAATATTTCTGTTACTCTTCATTGTACCGAAAGAAAAATACAATTAAGATCAAGAATAAAAGGTTTTCTTGTTCCTTTTTCACTGAAGCTCCAACAGTCAGATTTCATTTTTAAACTCCAACTTGGATTTTGTTTCTTCAGCAACCTGCTATAGTCTGCCAATATTGTTGTATTCTACCTTCTTTGGTAGCGATTTTCTACCAAATCTTGGTAAAGTTTTTGTCATATTCCTCACACATAAAAATTCCAAGTTATCAGAAGGGTTGTTCACTGAACACTGTATTTTCCTAAAACCTATAATCATTTTCCGAAATTATTTCAACATTTTTAACTAATTGAACTGTTCACTCTTTTCAGTGCGTACTGTTACATAGAACTAATGCCTATTATTGCAAGTGCCTTTATAGCATCTAAGGCTAAAGGTCATACTCACCTTACCGTATGCGAGATGATCAGAGATCGCCAAAACACAACCATGTCGGAACAAGTGAGCATAATCATTCTTCCTCTTTATACTTCTATGTGAGCCAAAGACTCCATTTTTCAGAATATTTATCTAAATTAAAATTTACTGATGATGATGATTCAATACTCATAATTTTAATATCCTTATTTGATTGCATTGAACCAGCACCGATCAGCTTCAAGATGTTTAAAAAGGCATGACTGTGGGATCATCATTTTATTACAATTAATATGATAACTATATCGCCTGATGAGAAGATAAAACTAGACTATGAAACGAATTTGCCCAACCTTGTAATTCCCATACTTACAATCTGCTGACTCCAATGTATAGAGATACTAGCTGACCCGGCAAACGTTGTTTTGCCACATACATTATTTCTAGGATATATTGAAAAAAAAATTAGGGGTGGGTCACCCTTGTCATTGTTGGCCGATTCTCAGACCTACCCGATGTGCACACAAAATTTCATAAAAATCGATCCAGCCGTTTCGGAGGAGTACGGTAACTAACATTGTGACACGGGAATTTTATATATAAGATAATATAATATATCTCACACATCTCACACACGGCCGTCTGATCCCAAACTAGGCAGCGCCTGTGCTATGGTAACCAGACTGCTAATAAACATACTTATATATTTTTAAATACATTCATATTATAGATAAATTACACCCAGACACAAAACAAATAACCGTGCTCATCACACAATATTTTTCCTGGGTGGGAATGGAACCCACGACCTTCGGCTTAGCAGTCAGGGTCACTTACCACTAGACCAAAAGGCCTGTCGAATGAAAGACAATGAGAGTGACAATAGGAATCATTCATTTGACAACTGATGTCGGCCCTATCTTATACTATAATAATTAGTGGCATAGTCTTTTTAGAAAGGAATGATTCCCACGATAGTGTTATAAAATATAGAACCTGGCGCTGTGCACGCTGGCATGCATCTAACAAACAAATAAATCAAAAACATTGTTTCAGAATAATGAAGCTTTTATTAACGGTTTCGCCATGACGATGGTATTCACCGTTGGTATAGCCCTGGCAATGCTCAATGTCATCATCAATACTCTAACTAATTACATTAGCAGAAAAAGAATTATCATCGCTATTCAGGTGAGTTTTTACTTTACATCTAGTTTGAAATATCATTTATATACGCTGCACTGTAAGTAAGATTAGTTGATGGAATGAAGTAAGTGGTTACCGTATTTATCTTGGTCAATATGCTCACTAATATTTGTTTGCTGCATTGAAAATTCGATTCTTGAGGCTTTTTGAATCTTGTGATATGATTTAGGTTTATTCTCATAAAGAATTTTGTAACTGTTACTTACCATATACTTATTATAAATCTATTTCAGACGAATAAGAAGATTTGATTAAGCTTTCACTTTTGCTTCTTGCAGTCATTCTTTCATATTTCCAAAAGTTTGCCTCATTTCTGATTTACAGGTCTTGGTTACGATTGCAGCTTTGTGCCTTAACTTCAGTCCCTATGGTGTGCTAACTGCAATTCTATTTATGTGCGTTTTATCTGGCGTCTTAAATCTTGGTCTTCTTTTCTCTTACGTCGGTGATATTTTCCCTTCTTTTATCATGTAAGTACATCATTTTAAATTAAGGACTGGTTTAATCAAGCAAGTTGCTTTTTGTTTTCTTAGGAATAGATAAAACATATTCGCCAATATATGATCTCCAACGGATTAGCGCGTTCAAGTGGCAATGGGCAGGGCACATAGCAAGGAGAACTGACGGCCGATGGGGCAGCAAAGTTCTCCAATAGAGACCATGTACTGGAAAGCGCAGTGTGGGACGTCCGCTTACCCGATGGACGGACGACCTGGTAAAGGTTGCCGGAAACCGTTGGATGCAGGCCGCAATCAACCGTCCCCGCTGGAAATCATTGGGAGAGGCCTATGTCCAGCAGTGGACAAGCATAGGCTGAGGGAGGATGATCTCCATTGTAAAAATTTTGCTTATAAAAAAATCTGTATGTCAAACGCACTATTAACAGTTACGAATTTATTACTTACCATTTTTTTATGGGTTTGAGAGAAGGCAATTTTCAAAAGACACCTGCAAAGTGTAGAACTTTTACCCACTAAAGGACACGCCCAATAAGCCTATAAGTCCAACGCCCGGTTTCCCCAGGCTCCCGGCGCCCTTACCAGAGCGTAAAGGTCATCTCACGTACTCGAGTCTTAACGTCCATCAAAGGTTCTTCGCCAGTCCGCCGAGCATCCCAGATACGACTTCTCTTGAAACCCAGAACCATCTGACCTTCTAACCTTCTTCGATTATAATTGTACCGGAAATGATCAGAACAGTAGCCTCGGTATGACGCAACGTCCAGGCGCCTATGTGCGCCTCGATGTTGCGTTGTACCGAGTAAACCCTTGCACATATTTGCTTAGACCTACCGTCGGAGTGCTTAAGCGGGCGTATATTTTCACACACGCGACCCTGGATTGTTACCACGAAGATACTCTCGACTGTCAAACTGAAGGCTTTCAAACTATGGATACCATTATCCATATCTATAGTTTTATTGTAACTTTTAAGTTAAGAACCTCTATATAGCTAACCATCATTCTAGACTAGACGGTCTGCGTAGTATTTAGAACGCCTTCTGCTCAAGATATAAATTAATGTTCTTCAATTGCGACTTCAAAGATATTCTTCAATTCTGGATTTTTGAGTAAAAATCTCATTAATATTTTCAGGTCTCTGGCGGTCGCATTCACAGCCGTGGCTGGGCTTGGTCCTGCCTCTTTAGTTGCTATGTTGGTCAAGAGATTTATAAGGAGCAATTGTGAAGTTGTTTTTTATATAGTGACAGGTGTTTCTTTGAGTAAGTATTGTGCACCTATTACGGAATAGTTCTAATTTAAATAATGTACGTCACAGATCTCAGACACGGCCGTCTGATCCTAAACTGGGCAGAGCTGAACTGGTAACCAGACTGCTGATAAACATATTTTTAAATACATATGTATATATTATAAATAAATTACACCCAGATACAGAACAAATAACCGTGCTCATCACACAATATTTGTCATAGGTGGGAATCGAACCCACGACCTCCGGCTTACAGAGGTAGCAATGCGTTTATGCCTCTTAAGTTATAGGTCCCAATGGCCGGTAGGAGTCACTTACAATTACGAGTAGATGACCTGTCTGCGCCCTATATTATGAAGAAAAAAGCTTACTGATTGTCGAAGTCAACGATATCTTAATATATTATTTCTGTTTCAGTTTGCGTGATAATTATGAGTTTCTTGCCCTCAAACGAGACACTCTACGAAAACAGAAAGTTACTGAATCAAAGAGTACCAAAAGAGGACGAGGAGAACAGAAGCAGTAGATACTCGTATTATAGTTAATTGTACAAATAAAAACCTTATTGCGCCAACATCAAGGATGAATTTTGTAAATATTTCATATATTTTAGTTTATGATTGAAATTTTTGACTCAGCGTTTATTTCGGTTCTTAAAACTAAGTGAAGAAGACTGATTGTAAAATGATTTTCTTATATTTTTTAATGTTTAGCCTGACCACGAAAAAAATAACTTCGCTATGATGCGAAAAACAAATAGAAATCTTTTAATGTCAAAGTGTAAATTTAGACTGTTGTTAAATTTGTGGGGGTTTTTCCTTATAAAAATGCCATAATACTTCTCAAATAATTTTTTTTAATAGTTAGGTATTAAATGGCAAAAATGTGACTCACGAATTGGACTCACTAAAAATATTTTTTAATTTAGATGTCTACATGACTGCACCATTAGCCTCACTGTTACTGTAACTTAAACGCAATAGAAATTATTTGGGCATAGTTGGTTAAAGGAAAAATGATTGCGCACCGATAATATTGCATTTAGTGAAAAACCTTCTACTACATTGTTTTAGAAGAAATCTTACAAATTTTTATTAAAATAAAAGATATAGGTAGCTAAATAATGTGGTTCATTTCATCATCATCATCAGCCTATCGCAGTTCACCGCTGGACATGGCCCTCTCCCATTGCACGGCACTTAGATCGAGTTTGGGTTTCTCGCATCCAGCTCCTATCAACCATCTTGCGCAAATCGTCACTCCACCTGCCCTACGTTTACCGAGACGCGGTCTCCACTCAAGAACTCGTTTTCCCCAACGGTGGTCGGTTCTGCGGCTAATATGGCCAGCCCACTGCCACTTCAGCTTGCTGATCCGGTAGGCTACGTCGGTGACCTTGGTTCTCCGCCGAATCATCTCATTCCCGATGAGATCCCTAAGAGAAATGCAGAGCATAGTCCTTTCCATAGCATGTTGAGCAACTTTGAACTTATGGACCGGCCGTACCGTAAGTGTCCACGCTCCGTATGTCATGACGGGTAGGACCCACTCATTGTATTTCATTTATTAAATGTTAATACAGTTGAAAATTAAGATAAGCTTTTAATTATTGATATTAAACATCATATTTGCATTATTTTTTTTTTTGTGTAGATTCGTTCCCACAAGTTGTTTTTTCGTTACTAAAATAACTCGTCACTCGAGTTCACTTTATACATTTCGGGTTTATGGATTTACTTCAACTCTTGTGACCTAGGTTTAGCAGAGCTATTGCACCTTGTTATTTATTGGAACGTACAAAAATTCTGGCTATTGAAAAAAAGGTAGAAGTGGTACTTCATTGAAAACTAAAATATTGTGGAGAAATTTCTTTTACGAGTGGTTACTTCATTTAGTCCAGTGCTGGACTAGATCATATTGTTGTTTCAGTCACCTCAAAACCTGGTGAATTAATAACACTCCTTAAAAATTTTTTTTTGAGAATAGAGTGTAAAATTATTTTGAAATATATAACATTCGAAGAAGTAATATTATAATAATAAAAATAAAAACAATCAACGATATGTTAAGAGGCTCACGTTGGACGGCTGGATCAAGGGTCTGATGCAGAAGGCAGTCCTCCTTGACACGGCTCGTATATTGAGGAGGTTCCAATCTTTGGGGTCCTAACCACCGGTGTCTTAGTCCCTGAACCTGATGTCGGTGGTCTACTATTTTATATAATTTAAATGCATTTTTTTTCTTTTGTAATATATTTAAAAATGAATTAATATCTTATATATAAAATTCTCGTGTCACAATGTTCGTTCCCGTACTCCTCCGAAGCGGCTTGACCGATTCTCATGAAATTTTGTGTGCACATCGGGTAGGTCTGAGAATCGGCCAACATCTATTTTTCATACCCCTAAATGGTAAGGGTGACCCACCCCTAATTTTTTTTTGTTTTGCAATACAACGTTTGCCGGGTCAGCTAGTCTTATATATAAAATTCTCGTGTCACAATGTTAGTTACCATACTCCTCCAAAACGGCTGGACCGAATTTTATAAAATTTTGTGTGCACATCGAATAGGTCTGAGAATCGGCCAACATCTATTTTTCAAACCCCTAAATGGCAAGGGTGTCCCACCCCAAAATTATTATTTTTTCAATATTTAATAGAAATAATGTGAATGGCAAAACAACGTGTGCCGGGTCAGCTAGTGTACATATAATTTAATAATGAAAACAAAATAATAATAATGTAATGTAGTGATAGTGAATACAGAGCAGAGAAGGTATTGGATTGCTTCTAAGTGGAATAGCGACGTCGGTAGAAAGAGAAAGAAGACGGCAATTTACACGCGTCTCATTCGCACCTCTTCGTTTATATATATATGCTTCGCAATATTTTTTTATTTTACAGTTTCTTTTTTGTTTACAATATAGTCCAAATTTACAATTTATAATAATAATTAATTATATAAATATAGTTTATTTCAGTCATGATTGATAAATCATATAAAAATTATGTGGAATCAGATACTGTACTTCAGAAAGCCTGCCACACACAGCTCTGCAACACCTAAAGGTTTGACTGGAACAAAATGCCTGTGGCATTAAGTTCGTCTTATGCAATATGTTTGCAGGAAGTGTGAATAAATAAATAAATAAAAAGAAGTAAACTTTTTAGTTATCGTATCGTATCGTATCGTATCTTATTCATTAAATGGTCATGGTATGGAAACCGAGGCAGAAATAAGACGATCACCAGGAATCCAAAGCTTTTTACAAACAGCTTTTTGTCATATTGACGAATAATATTATAAAACTTACTAACTACAACATAATAAACACAGTCGTATTAGTTATGTATTTATATCTTTACTGCTCATTTGCTGTCTGCTCCTTGTTCTCTCTCCTCTTCCATTTCGGGCCAACAAATCCACGAAGAGGTACAAGAGAGACACTTATAGATCGCCGTCTTCTTCCTCTTTCTACCAACTTCCCCGGATCTTTGCTCGCTTCTTTCCTATATCTGTAGTATCTCTATGCTGTCACCACTCCTATTCATTCCGTATATGCTGTAAAAGTCGACTAAGGGAGCAAACTACGCAGGACAACACCACTGCAAAGAGAAGGAAAATGAAACAAAGGGTTTGTGTCAAGTTTCCTTCACTTTTGCAGTAGGATTTGTGACAAACCCTTTTTTTTTTACGTGTGGAAACCACCTCGGACCGACTAAAACCACACGGTGTGCCACCAATCTCCCGTCGAGGATCAGGCCTAGATACTTCATCTGTTGAGGATCACACTTGTGGGGATCGGACCCACAACACTTAGCGTAGTAGTAAGCGGCGTGGCAACCGCTTAAACCACTACGCTATCCGTGCATTTAATGTGATGTGATGATGTAGTGTAAGGAGAAGTTTGTGAGAAAATATATTAAAATGGAATTTGAAGGAAGTTTTTATCAATTTGGTAACGAGAATGACGGTTGAAGATTATAAAAAATGGGTTTCAAAACGATGAATATAAAAAAATACTTGATTATCACAGGTTTATTTATTAATATTTATAAAGGCACGTATCGAGTAATCCATCAATCATATTTTAATTATTTCAAATACAAATTGAATTTTAAACTATTTAGTTTTTGAAATAATTAATATAATAATTAAAAATCATTTTAATTAATAATTACTTAAAAATTAGAAGTTTTGACTTGAGGAACCATTATGACCCATCTTTACCTATAAAAGGGGAGCCCTAGAAGGGATTTTGATATTTACTTGAGCTGCTTATTAAAATAAGAAGGAAAAGGAATACGTTACACTCTGTTGAGTACCTTCACCGTGTCATATGAAGCCCATCGTCTAGGTCAACCAAACAGATTAGTAATGAAAAGTGCGTATTTCAATAATCTGATGATTTGAGCATGACATAACGGAGTGGGAGGGTTACAAAGTTAGAAAAAAGTTATGTGACCTTGACATTCTGGAGCACGGGGTACATTTTTTTAAGAAGGAAAGAATGCAATATAAACCACAAAAATATAACCTGCGATTTCTAAAGCCAAAGTAGCAAAATCATCAGTATGGTGTACAGCGTGCAAGTGCAGCATGTATTTCCCACTTTTACCTATTTCTGACTCTCTTGCAACGTCCCCGCAGTGCTTCCCGTTACCATGACGCGATTACAGCTGATCGCAATTCTTGTACAAAATCCAACAGACCCATTCTCTACTTCAATACATAATAAATTAACTTTACAATATTTCCTTTCCTTTGAAAGGGAACATTGCTAGGGTTTATTTAACATCTTTTCCGAATAATTGACGCACCCAGTGAATTAATTCTTTTATTTTTACCCACCCCCACCGTGCAACATTGCGTATTAGAATACCTTTATTACGAAAAGCACTTTGTGGCACCTAACCAATAATATTTAACCAACTCAAGTATGTCCATGTAACTGTTTTTATTTATAAAAACCTATAGACGTGTGGGTGACACACATTTTTAAACTTTTATTCATCTATTATCTATTGTTACCAATCTAATACGTCCCCACGACGGTCAAGGAAATCCCCATTTAGCATCATGGGCTCCCCACCATATTAACAAAGTTTTATCAAAAGTGTATGAAATTGTTCCTCTTGTAGTTCAGGATCCTGGTCTATGATTATGTACCTTCTTAATATTTTGTCGATACCAGTTTCTTGGTTCGTTAATACTCATTCAGGCACCAATCATCGAGACCTCATATAATACTGTTTGTAAATCATTAGTTCAAGCATATTTCTACGGCTTAACTGCTTTATGCTGTCCAAAAATTTTCTCTTCCGATGGTAAAAGAAAGCCTATTATGCCGCCAACTGAAATAAAAAAATGACATTGTTACATTCTGATTTCTACTTAATCATTATTGCCCTTTCCATAGCCGCATTTGGTAACATGTCCCATAGAGGGTAGCATTTCATTTTTATTTACACTTCCAGATTATACAGGATGTAAGGGACTTAGGGAATACTGAAATAGTGTATTCAGATCATGATTCTGGGTCGAAAATCATTGGAATTTCATGCCAATTATAATGAGAAATTTACTTTTATAAATATATATGATCGTAACGGAAGATCCTTAAATTTTTTTTTAAGAAATTAAGTTTCGGTGGTTAAATTTATGATTAAGAACACGATATTTGAGATGAAAACCTTCTTACGGTATCCTTCATTAGAGTCGTTTGCGTCAATCGAACGGTTTTTTAAGTTTGAGTCTAAGACTCCTTCTTCCTCGGCTCTGTTGAGGCAATTACCTGTGAAAGTTTCATCACCACAAAAAAAAAAGACTACTCCAAAGAATTTATGGCCAAGAATTGAAGAGTTTCAATATATTCTTCTTGGTCTGTGTGGTGAAGGATTAAGAATATTGTATAACCACCCCTTTTCATGCTGTGGGTGTCGTAAGAGCCGACTAAGGGAGAAAACTACGTAGAACAATAGCACTGCAGCGAGAAGGAAAACTTGACACAATCCCTATACCAAACCAGGCCAGCGTTATAGTATAAAGCCAATACCTCCTTTCTAAGGAGAGGCTTATATCAAGCAGTGGACTATTAAAGGCTGTTGATGTGATGATGTGATGATGAAATATATTTTTCTTAGTGTAAACTTTTACAACATGAAAAAGGTTCACAATAACATATATGTTAAAACCTAGGATGACTTACGACACGAAAGGACTCCGAAGGTATAAAAAATGTATTCGCAGTAGTTATTCAATAGTTGCTTGAGAACGTTAATGCCAATAACTGCACTTGCACGGCCCACCATCAATGTAAGAGAAACTGCCATAGCCCTGGAATCATTCATTAACCGTGTAATGCCTGCCTGATCTGCTCGAAGTATTACTAACACTCATCAGTATAATAAACATCCCTTTCTTTCCTATCTTTCCCTTTCAATAAAATCCTAACTTCCCCATTCCATAGTTTACGGTTGACGATAATAGGCTTAGGTCGTGTGGTGGCGGATAAAGAATGCAGAGTGTTACCACCCCTATTCATGCCGTGGGTCTCGTAAGTGCCGAGTAAGGGAGTAAACCAAATCACTGCACTGCAAAGAGAAAGAAAACTTGAAACAAATCATATACCAAGTCGCCTATCCAGCGTGGTATAGTAGGCCAAAACCTCTTTTCTAAAGAGAGGCCTTTGTCCAGCAGTGGAATATTAAAGGCTGTTGATGATGATGATGAATGATAATAGGCCTGGCCCTTATCATGAGAAAGGCAGTTTGCAAAATGTAGGTTTTTAACATACCTCTAGATCTAAACCCTCGAGAGGCAATACTATAAAGATACACCTGTGTACCTATAAAGGCCATACTTCCCTACTTATATTAAAAATGAGTGAGTGAGTGAGTTTGTTTGCTACGGTTATCGTAGTAAAAAGTAGTATTTGTTAATCGCTGATAATGTAGCTTTCCATTGATGAAATAATTTTTAAAATCGGTTTAATAGTTTAGGTATGAAAGCCAAACAAACAAACAAATTCACTTTCACTGGAAAAAGTATAGATCTGGAAGTATGGATTGACAAACGGAACTAACCATTTTTTTAATCCCACCCACACGACCACCACTGTAACTCCTGTACACCAGGATCCACAGCAGTGACCCACGAACACACCGAGTTATGACACTCGGGAAGTCCCAGGAAGAAATTAAACTGTCTTGGAACCCGCAACGAAATTAATCAGAAGAAAATTCGAGGAGTTGGAGATACAGTAAATCCACTTCCTTCCTTCGCAAAGCGGGAGACAAAATGAAGTAAAATAGGCATACACCCTTTTAAACAAGGAAGCACCACGGCCACAAAAGATTACGGGTCCTAGGTGATCTATATGACGGAACTAACCTCACAAATGTCGGAAAGATATCGACAGAGTAGGTGCTAAGGAAGCCGAAGTTGAATATCCCGGTCAAAAAGAACATAAACAGTACACCCGTCAGCATCCAGTATGGAGAGCTATTGACGCTCAATGCAGCTACGCCAGCTACCATCTTGAATTAAGTAAACATTGTATGGTTAGAAAATATAATTGTCAGTCAATATTGTCATAATGGCAAAAAAACTCACTTTGTTTAAAGGCGGACAAAGGCATTATAATTATTTATAATAAATTTACAAATCTCACACGGCGGTCTAATCCAAACTATGCAGAGCCTGCACTATGGTAACCACCCTGCTGATAAACATACTTATATATTTTTAAATAAATAGATATTAAAGATAAATACACTCAGACACAGAACAAATGATTGTGCTCGTTACATAATATTTGTCCTGGGTGGGAATCGTACCCAAGCCCTCCGGCTTAGCAGTTAGGGTCATTAACCATTAGATCAACAGGCTCTTCGAACTAATCGAATCGAATATAACTATCGAATTACTTATGGATCTAATATAAAGACTAGTAATACTATATTTAGGCCATATATATTCCGGACCATCGGGGTATCAGGGGTTTCCTTTCTAGGGTACACTTGGTTCCCAAGCTACTGGTACCCGAGAGCAAGATTCGAGTACGAGATAACCACCAAACCGGTGAGTAGTATCCGAAGGGATCTTTGCACAGAAAAAAAGGGGGTATTCCGTACTAGAGGACTTAATTTATGCATTTTTAAAGTAAGATAAAGGGAACATTTTCTTCCTTCTTTTAACCGGAGACCGTGTGATACCACAGCCTCATAAAAAACCATTGTTAAGTGAATCTTTAGTTGCTTTTCACAGAGTTAGTGAGGCTCCCCCAGGGTTCTGTGGAGACGGGGAACTCAAAGGGCAGTTACATATGTATCTCTGGGCAGCAGTAGTCATTTAGCCTCAGGGGCCCCATCTATTCTTCTTCCTCCTACACCATAACAGAAGTCCTCACCTGTATCCCAATAAATATTTTCTTCCGTCCTATAACATTGATCAGCGCACTCATAATGATGTTAGAAACAGCCAGGATCGAATGTATTACGAATACCATTATCATTGCAAAACTGTTCATTGAACAATCTAAATTCTGATTCTGAAACAATAAAGAAATCATATATTTATCATAATAAAGGTCTTTTCGTATTCATTGGCGATTTATATTCATTGTATATTGCTGGATATAGGCCTCTCCTTGGAGAGGGGTTTTGGCTCAGTACACCACTCTGGCCAGACGGGTTGGTATAGGGTTTAGGGCTAAACCCTACGTGATAGACCAAAATCATGTACTACGGAATTGTATAGCTTAAAAACGTCTACAAAAAGTCTGCGATGGTATATGTCTATCTCCTAAGGATAACCCACAGTAACTATTTTTATCTTGAAATATTACTTTAAAAAACTTGTAGTATAGTCCTATCCTAATAATAGTATAATTAATTACTCCACATTGACACCAAATTAGTAGTATCTACATTGCACCCGTGCAAAGCCGGGGCGGATCGCTAGTTATAGATTAATTACACCCAGAGACAGAATAAATGTACAATGTTTTATCCTAGGTGGGAATCAAAGCCACGATCCCTGACTTAGCAACGAGGACATCATCAATAGGCACGTGAAGCTACAAATACACATTAGCTTGACAAAGACATTGTTAAACATGAAATGCATATAGCAAAAAAAATGCTCACTTCCTCGGTTGTTGAATTTTGATATAATTCAATCATATTACAGGCTGTAATATTCGTGTTGCCCTCTGAGACTGACGTCATAATAGCATTAATTATAAATGGTAACCATACCACAAAGGAGTTTATACTGAAAACCAAATCAGAAATTAATTGGGCACACCACGGAAACTTAACTCAGTACTTACTCATATAATTAGAAGAAACAAAAAGCCGTGTGGCGTCGTAGCAACACCGATAGGAACGAAGGTCCCTATGCTAATTGTCAAATATCTCATTCATAAATTTTTATTGAGATTGTTGGGAAACAAAACTGATCACATTTCACAGTCGAAGGTCACAATCAAATTCTCTAAAAACCATATCATATCTCAATCTCCGATGCGTTGTTCTCGAGTTATTTAATAAATAATGCAAGTAGACTGATAACTTTCTCTCTCTCCCACTCTGTAGGCCGTGAATGCAGAGCGAGAGAGATAGCGACTAACGCTTTTCGTGACGTTCACTTCTTTTAGTGAAATCCCTCTCGCCACATCATCCCATACGGAACTTCGGTAGCGGGGGACTTTACAAACATACATGAAACTTACACAAAGAACACCCAGACTCAGAACAACACTTTGTGGATCTCATAAAGTGACGTCCCATGTGGGGATCGAACCCACAATACTCAGAATGGTAGTCAGCGGCGTAGCGACCGCCTAAACTGCAACGCCATCCGTGCAGTCAAATATGGTATAAAGTTAAAGAGTTTTACCAGATATAACATAAAACAAAGAGAACTGATAGTAGAATAACATTCTTCAAAAGTGGTTTCCTAAGTAAAGGCCCCGTTTTTGCCGCTAAAGACCCGAAGAAACCTTTTGGTACTGTTGATTCGCTATCTTCTTCTAAGTACACAGCGTCTACCTAAAACAAATTTTAAACATCCAATTATCTTATATGTATAATAAATTCTCGTGTCACAATGTTAGTTACCATACTCCTCCGAAACGGCTGGATAGATTTTTATGAAATTTTGTGTGCACATCGGGTAGGTCTGAGAATCGGCTAACATCTATTTTTTACCCCTAAATTTTTTTAAATATTTCCTAGAAATAATTTATATGGCAAAACAACGAAATGACCATGCCGTTACGCAACGGCCGATTTTGGGAAGTTGTTTTAAATATATGTATGTTATTTGCAAGTAAATCTTTTCAGATATTTTTAAAAGTCGGACTTTACAGCTAAAAGGCGCCGGCATTTCCTAAGACTCGCTCTGGGTAGAAACGCCTAAACAAACCACAGAGGTGTCTTTTTTTTAGTCCGTGTACAATGGTAAAGAGAATTATGTGAGTGCAGTATAGGATCTGAGTTGGTCTTTTGAAGAAAAAACCATAGTTTTGAGTCAGCCCGTCCATACAGACGGCATACGAGCCCCAGCCATTATGTAGCCTAACCGATATAGGATCAACAACCCGTAACTCGACACTACCGCCCGCAGGACACTTGATTAGGCCGTAGAAACATACTAAATTTTATGCTAATCGGCGTGAGAATATTCATATCGCGATACAAGATAAACAGTTACTAGGTAGTTCAATGTCTCTACGTTAAATTGAACTGAAGTGTGTTTATGTTTCATTGCATGTGGAAGTCGCTACAATTCCATTAACAATTTCCAGTGCCACCTGACTTTGTCAGACAATATACACTGTCTTTTTAATATACTCCTAAATTTACAATCTAAATTTCTTCCCTTATTACGTCAGTGGGACTAAAGTTTAAATGTGGACGTCCAATACGCCTCTGTCTATCTCTTCGAGAATACAGGCTTAGTAATTTTATGTATGTATAATTTAATAATTAATAATATTAATAATTAATAATGATTAATTTGTAATATATTAATCCAAATAAAATTGAAGTGTCTGTTTGTAATGTCAAAATAATAGGTATTTTTCATGCCCACAACAACAAATAATCTATTTGCACGATACCTTTGCCTAAAAATGAGTTTAAATATTTTTTGTCTGTTTGTCCGTCTGTTTGTCCGTCTGTTTGTTCTGTCTGTCCGTCTGTTTGTTCGAGTAATCTTCAAAATGGCGGCAATAATTTTGGTAATGTTTTGCTACCAGGTCTATATAAGGAGTAACTTAGGCTATTTTTTCTCTCAGAAAAACCAAATAAAAAAATTCCCGGTTAAGGAATCGAACGAAGTCGCGGGCACCATCTACGGTGTTTACGGGAATTAACGCGTTCACGATAGGTAGTAAGTACTTACCTTACTTAAGAATTGCCTGACGTTCGACCAGGTTGCACTACCCGTGGTCACAGACTGACTAAACTATAACCTAATGTAACTTACCTCAAACGTATCACCGCTTTTTCCAGTGTTCATCACATATATCCTTCTTAATACTTCAACAGCTTCTTTCTCTCTCCCTATACTGAGGAGATATTTGGGGCTTTCGAAAATAAATGTTGCTCCAAGAACACTAATGAGGCAAGGAAATGCAAAAATTAAGCAAAGCACTCTCCAAGCATTAAATTGAATGTCCAGGACTGGTATGTAGTAAGAGAACTTGAACTGGAGGACCGGGTATGCTATTACTGTAAAATACATAAAAGTAAGTTAGCATCATTTACTAAAACGACATTTAGTTATAAGACAAATTGTGGCATCTTGTTTTTAAGCATTTATTGATCTAATTCGTATTTAATTTTTTAGGGAAGCTTACTTACCTACAAATAGATGAGGATAGAGTTTTGCTCAAATCATCATCATCATCATTAACAGCCTTTACTAGTCCACTGCTGGACATAGGCCTCTTCTTAAAAATGAGGTTATGGATTATGGTTAGGATTATGACTATACCACCCTGGCCTGAAGTTTTCCTTCTCTTTTCAATGCTGTTGCTGTGCGTACTTTACTCCCTTATTCGGCTCTTACGATACGGGGGTAACACTCTGTATTCTAAATCCGTCACCACACACATGATCGAATTTGGCTCAAATAGTATACCATAAGTAGTAGCTACATGAATATTTTCAGTTCGCTTTATTATATTAGTTAGTTATAGAACATAAGTTGAAATACCTGCCATGGATCCGGTGGACATCAAGAATACGCTGGTAGATAAGATGACTAAGCCACTTCTTTTAGCCATAGGAGTGCACTCGCCTAGTATGGTCATCGACAATGCAAATGCGCCAGCTATCCTAAAAGATTAACAAATTTATTAGTTTACAGATCCTTTTAGTATTTTTTTTTGAGATTTTTGAAACGAAGTTCCTGATCGCGCTTTACACGCTCTGAGCGAATGGGAGCAAAACCGAATGTGTAACAAGACTTTTTTACGACTCCTTGCTATAGTTACAGTCTTGTATAAACTTTTTCTTAGAAAGGAGGTGTTGGCCTACTATTTTCTAAAAAGGCCTAAAAATTGATATTATTTTGTAAAAGGCTGCTAATGACTTGACATTTTATAATATAAATTATAATGACTGTATAGCAAACGTCTACCAAAAAGCGAAAGGAACTTTATGCCGACCAGGGGACCATAGTCCTCACACGCCGGTTTTTTACTTTTTTGTTTTGTTATCTCTTAAAATAATTGGCATACTAATATTATAAATACGAAAGTGTGTCTGTCTGTCTTTTTGTCTCTCTGTCTGTCTGTCTGTTACCTCATCACACTTAAACCGCTGAACCGATTTAGATGAAATTTGGTACGTAGATACTTTGATTCTTGAGGAAAGACTTAGGCTACTTTTTACCGCGATTTACGCGACCGGTGCCTCGGGCAAAAGCTAGTGTAGGTATATGTTAATATTGACAACTAAATACATTCAAAAAGACGATACTTTGCGTGATCAACAAATTGTAACACCACAAACTTTGTATGTTTTTAAAGTTCCCCCGCGACACGGTATATCTAAAAAAATCTAAAAATATCTCGAAGGAATTTCTCAAATTTACTTACGAAGCAGAAGAAAGCAATTTCAGAAGGCTCAGCACTATCCAATTTGGTGAGAAGGTAGATAATATACCGGCAACAAAGCCCATCGTCATTGATATTATTAAGATTTTCTTCCTCCCTCGGGTGTCAGCCAGATAGCCCCAGATGGGCGACGTGAAGATGACACCTGGATATAAAACAAACAATAGTTGCACTGGTATTAACAACAAATGGTTTCAAGTGTGCAGGAGAGCCTTGCTTTGACTTATATCTGCCGGGCTCGATCCAGGTGATGCGGGCTAGGTTACCGGAGCCCAGACCTTAAAGGGCGACAACGCACATATGAGACGCAGGTGCCCATGGACGGTGGGAATCACTTACCATCAGGTAAACCGTCTGCTTGTTTGCTCCTTCACCAAAAAAAAAGAAAACAATGTCAGATCAGGGTTAAACTCTGTTTTGTTTACCCAAAAGTACTACTGAATTGAGAACATTCGTCTTTTATGGTATTCTGAAATATTCTTACCTGCCAGTGGTATACAGGCGAGAAAACCTTGCTGTATATTGGTGGTGTGCAGCTCGCAAACGCTGGCAGGGACAAGATAGGACACGCTGAACAGTTCGAAGCACATTCCCATAATCACGCTGGAGCAGATCAGAAAGACTCCCACGTTGTAACCAGCGTATCCTTAAATAGAAATAAATTTATTGGGATATTTTTAACAAGGAGGCTTATCCCAATATAATTAACTTTTTAAATTAGAATATTTTTAATTAGATTATTTTATTAGTGAAAACTTCTTTAAGCGTGATGTTCATATTTGAACAACAAATAAAATAATGTATTTTCTGAGATGGGAAAAGGCCTTTGAACTCGTGACACCGTTACCGTTACCGACACCTCTGTATTTAAGTAACTTCATACATATATTGGCCCCGTTTACAGGAGAGTTCAGTTTGGGTTGATAATACATTGATAAATATTATAAAGCTGAAGAGTTTGTTTGTTTGTTTGAACGCGCTAATCTCAGGAACTACTGGTCCGATTTGAAAAATTCTTTCAGTGTTAGATAGCCCATTTATCGAGGAAGGCTATAGGCTATATATCATCACGCTAAGAGCAATAGAAAAACGGAGAAAATGTATTACTATTGAGAGACGCAGACGAAGTTGCGCGGGTCAGCTAGTACATTGATAATATAACTATATATAATATTAACATATATACCTACAACATAGATATATAAATATTCATGTCGGAACTTTTTAGGTCGAAAAAAAACCTCTTGTAATCATTTTTTTTAAATTTTCAAGTTTTCACTTCTGTCGCCAGTCCCGGAGTGCCACTGTTTTTACAGCAGGTATAGGGCAAAAGAGCAGGCTGATCACCTTATCATGAGTGACCCACCCAGGGATGAAAGAATGACACTCAAAAGTCACAAGTGTATGGTCGGCTTTTGAGTACCTCCGACAGAATTAAGGAGGTGGCGACCCTGGTATCATATCGGTCGAGTTGTACAACGTAATGAAACATTATTTTTCTTTTTAAAAGACAACTAGCACTAGGAATATGTTCTGTGTCGCTGGGGACTTCACAAAGATTCATGAAACAGACACATGAACAGAACAACCAGACTCAGAACAACAATGTGACACAACACATCGGGGATCGAGCCCACAACACTCAGCACAGTATGAAGCTGCGGTGACCGCTTAAACCGCTACGCCATCTGTGCAATCATTGTCACAAAACTCATGTCACCGTGACGATCGAGTAGATGTCAAATAAACTCACACTAGGCCCTCTAATGATGACTGGGAGGATGACTTCCTGTAATCTGACTAAGCGGAATTTGGTTTCATTTCGGGATATCTTTTGCTAATTGGCCCATGTTGACTGGACGTCCATGCTAAGCCCGGTATTAATATGGATCCCCTCGAGGAGTCTGGGGGATGCAGATTAACTAAGGAGGGGTGAACCGGGCCAGGGGGGAGACCCAACAGCCAAAAGGCCAAGGCCAGGATTGAGGCCGGGAGTGGATGCTCAGTAACAGACTGACCAACATAATCAGACGCTTTCCTTTTAGGCCCACTAATGATTTTCGATGGTTTTGTTTAACGTTATTGAGGAAAAAAACATATTGTAACTATTTCATATCCATTAAACAAGCAAAAAATGACAAATAAAATACGAATAATGTCACGTTTTATAATAAATGATGTAACGTAATAGCAAACAATGTAGATAAAATTAATTTAATGCTTAAATAAGCATAAGATAGCAATGTGTGTAAATATTTACACACATTGTTGAAGAAGTTCATTTTCATAGCGTTCAATTTGAATAGAAATTGTACTAAATATCCTCAAATGTTAACAGAACGCAAATCACAATCTACGAGTATGCCATCAGAGGTGCCCCGTTTCCATTTTGAGTAAAAAATAATTTAATTAAAGGCATTGATTGGGTCTGTTGGTTTTGTGGTCGTGGGTTCGATTCCCACCCGGGATAAATAATTGTGTCATGAGCACGATCATTTTGTGTCTGGGTATAATTTATCTATAACTAGCTGGTACCCGCGACTTCGACTACGACGCGAATTGAAAAGCGCTGCCTGTGAGTTCGATTCCCGGACCGGGCAAAATTTTAAAGGGTTTTTCTAAGAGGAAAAACAGCCTAAGTTACTCCTTATATAGACCGCTACCTGGTAGTAAAATATTATCAAAATCGCTCCAGCCGTTTAGAAGATTACAGATAACCGGATAAGCATGAAAAAACCTATTTTTTTAAAATTACAAACAGACACATCAATTTTATTTATTTGTATAGATGTGTATGTACTAGAAATATATTAAGTATTAGTACGTCATCCACTTTAATAAATGATTAATACATATCTGTAAAATTTTCTTATTACGACAATGGTTGAAAGTGCTGCTGTTTGGCGGTAGCACGTTTGAAGTGTGTCGAATTCGTGATTACTTCTTTTTTAACAAATACATATTCCATTTTAACAAATTAGACGCACAATTTACTAACAAGTTCGAAAACATTTGTGTCCGACAAAAATTCTGCCGCAAATAGCTTGTCTACCAACGGAAACAAGTCGGATATACGATGTTTTGTTTTGCGACGAATATATAGTTCATTTTTGCATTATTAATTCCTGATTCCTTATAAAGTAAGCGGTGATATTGTCCGACAAATTTTCTGCTGTGTTGTCTATAGTCGACAGTTCGAATATGACATGTTTGTGAGGATATGTTTCCTGATAAATACACGTCGGACAAAAAAATCACACGGCGCATAATTATCAATATGTATAAAAAAACAGGACTGTCCGACAGAAGAAGTGATTATTTAAGTTAGTCGGACAAAAATCCGAGCGGGGAGCGAGAAAATCTTGAAATTGAATGGATACGATTAATTGTTTTTCTTTCTGTTAGAGCAGACGATCAGACGGGTTACCTGATGGAAAGTGACCATAGCCGCCCATGAGCGTCTGCAACTCAGGAGTCACAAGCGCGTTGCCAGCCTTTTAGGAAGGTGTACGCTCTTTTCTTGAAGGTTTGACGACCTTCAAACCTTCAAGAAAAGAGCGTCGGTCCGGAAATTGTCTCGAAAAGCGCACAGTAGTGGAGCGCCAACTATCCAGGTAATGAGGATGAAATTTTTTCCGTTGGAACGATGGCGGAAATTTGCGGCTGGTATTAGTCCGAACAATTCCTCGGAGCACTCTCCATGATATATGCGACAGAGAATGTAGAGTGAAATTACATCTACGCAGCGTGGGATCATCACACGTTGGCCGTTGCCGCTTTTACTACACTCGAAACGAATGAAATATGTTGATTATTAGATCATTAGTTTGAAGGACCCACGTTTATAATTAGTAATTCATCCAGTAAGTACAGTCAGTCGGCCCTTAGCCACCGCGATTCGCTAAGTGTTATGCTGTTTTGTGTCCTTGTAGATGCTCACGACTATATCGTAATAATAATATTGTTGTTGTTCTTGAGATATTTGTTTTAAAAAGGTTTTAAGTGATGTGTTAATAATTGTTTAGTCGTATTGCTTTCGTCATAATACACAGGAATGGTGTAAACAATTATGTTATCGTGTGTGCAAGACTTCATGTTGTAAAGAGTCCCTCTGATTTTATTTTGAAAAGTGTCAATAATAGTTTGTGTTATGTAGTGTGTGTGAAACTGAGTGCATTATCAGACTTTTATTTTATATTTGGTTACGGGTATTAGGGATGTTGCGAATATTCGCATCCGCATCCGCCTATGCGGAACATCCGCATCGATTTAGACATCGGCATCTGCATCCGCATCCGTATAAATCGATGCGGAGCTGATGCGAATGCGGATGTGTAGCAGGTCGCGACAAGAAAGAAAGCACGTGCTGATTGACCAATAGGAAAGCAATAATTTTCTAGCAAGAATCTCCAATTCACCATGCAGCCACAACTTTAAAAGCTGAAATTTCAGAAAATTTTCCACTTTGTTGGAAGAAGATAACTTATATGTCATAGCCACTTACTAGATCCTCGCTATAAGAACAAATTTTTCACATCAGTAACTGAGGAAAAGATTAAAGATGATATATTGAAGATTAGCAGAAACACCAAAGACATCTTGGCTTCTCGAACAATATCTCCAATTTCTCCAAGTACCAAAAGAACGAAGAAAATGAAAATGAGAGATTCTATGGAAACAGATACGGAACGATCAGGGACCTCAGGTACAGGACGTCAGTCCTGTTTAATTAATGATCTTGCCATGATGCTCGATTCATCAAGTGACGATGAGAGTCAGGAAACACCAGAAATGGTTAGCCCTGATGCAATTCTCAAGAAAGAGTTACTTACTTTCCGCAATAAGAAGCGAATTAATTTAAATGAGAGACCTATTAAATGGTGGAGTGTTAATCAAAGCGAGTTCAAACTGTTATCTAAAATAGCACGCAAATTCTTATCAGCTTCACCTGCCAGTGTTCCAAGTGAACAGTTGTTTAGTAGCGCAGGATTAATATACGAACCCTTGCGAAACAGACTGGAGTCCGAAAAGGCGGCCATTCTACTTTTCATTAAATATAATGCTCCAATATTTAAATTGAATTACTAAAATAATTAATTAGTAATAGTAATTCACTCAATACTTTATTATTAAATAAAGAAAGGAGTAATAGTACTGTGTTTTTTTACCCTGCCAAACGAACACTTAAGTTTTGTACAGATCCGCATCCGCGTCCGCGGATGTGAGCCTCTTATATCCGCATCCGCATCCGCGTCCGTGGATGTGAAAAAAAATGCATCCGCAACATCCGTTGTATCAACATCCATAATGCCGTGAGTGACCTTCACAACCGCGGAATATCCTGATATGATGTTAATTTACGGGGAACTCTATCAAAACTCATCTTTAGCTTTACGGGCAAACCGACGTCTGGAATCTATCGTGTATGTCCTAAGGACTACCGAAGTTTTGAAAGGGCGGTACAAAGATTACGAGACAACAAAAAAAAACAACTTTTTATACAAAAAAATACCTACTTTTTCAAGGAGAGACACAGTCGAGCATTCCCAAAATAAACTCGTGAATAAAATCGGATTTGTAATAAATTGATTTTAAAAAGCAAGTGAAGTAAGTGATAGTAGGAAATAAGAATGTAAAGTTCGCCGCCTCGTTGCCGACATTGCGACACTGCTGTGTAAAGTTCACCCACTCATGTTAACAATGGTGTCCGCAATTATTTTATATTGTATTTATTTTGTTCTATATTTGCATTGCCGTATTTTCGTACTATTTTTTTTTCAATTTTTACCGACGTATATTGAACCGTGTTATCTGTTATTTCATTTTGTATAATAAGCTTTATCACAGATTGTATGTGAAACGCACACAAAGAACACCCAGACTCTGACCAACAATTTGTGGATCACACAAAGTGTCGTCCCATGTGGTGATCGACACCACAAAACTTAGCGCAGTAGGAAGCGGCGAGGTGACCGCTTAAACCACTTGCAATTGCCTAATATCGGTTTTCTGTGAGACGGTGACATTATTTTTCGAGCCAACCCGTACCGAAGTATAGTTCTGCCATGGTGGTAAATTTATGATTTTTATAACAAAACCTGTCTAATACTAAACTACAACCAAACAGAACAAACGATCGTGCTCATCACACAAATATTTGTCCTGGGTGGGAATCGAACCCACGACATCCTTCTTAGCAGTTAAATTCACTGTATCTAGGTATTTACATACTCGTATTTTAATAACTGAACCATTCTAGCGCTGTTGTCCTGCGTAGTTACCTCCCTTAGTCAGCTCTAACAACACCCACGGGGTGAATAGGGGTGGTGACACTCTGTATTTTTAATCTGTCCCCTACTTACGGACTAACTAACAGAGTTTACTGAATAAACTACAATGACTCGCAGTAACGAACGATTAATTTGATGTTTTTTAAGTTACAGAATGTTTCAACTATGTATGAAATATCTTAAGGTCGACTCGCCTACGGTTTACTATTGATAAATATTTAAGTAAGAATTAGGTGGGTGTAGAATATAATGATATATTATAACAGAACAAAATGACATAATTCATATAACCTTAATTTGCTCTAATAGCATTAGGTTTGGCGTTATAACATCATGCTGTTATAAAGGACGCTAAAACCTAAATGACTCACCAACAGTAGAGGGGATCTTGCGTAAATGGTCACTTGTCTAACTTTTTTTTTTTTTTTAACGTGTGGAAATCCCCTCGGACCGTCACCCCGCCGGGGCTCTCGTTCGGCGGGGCGGTGTGTCGGACTCGAAACGACTAAAACCACACGGTGTGCCCTCTTTGCGCTTCCAGTTTAGGAGGGGTCCAAGTAGTTATCGCCTTCTGGACCCCTCCCAGCGCCGGTCCGCTCCTGGTGCGGGCTCCGTCTGAAAATGTTTACCTCTCTTTAGGCGGCGTCCGGTACACGCGGACGCCGCCCCCTCGCGGCTGGCCAACTAATGCGGGTGCAGGGGAGAACACATTACGTCCACCCGCGGCCACACTCAGGGCGGCATGAGGCACAGGTGAGCGCGCCTCCGCCGCCCGGTTCGGCATTTGTCTAACCTAACCTAACCCAAAAAACAACACACAGAGATAATTCAGCAGCAAGTAAATCATCCGTTACTTTTTTTTTTACGTGTGGAAACCCCCCGGGTCGTCACCCCACCGGGGTTTGCGGCGAATCGGGCCGACTAAAACCACACGGTGTGCCTCTCTGCGCCTGTAATAGGAGGGACCCGGGAACTGCTGTTATTAAGACATCCGGGCCCTCCTAGCGCCTGCCCGCAACGTGCGGGCACCACCTTCGGGTTACTGGACTAACCTAACCTAACTCAAAAAACAACACACAGAGATAATTCAACAGCAGGTAAATCATCATTTACTTCCATTAACCTTAGGTTCATTAATTGTAGGAGAATTAACTAAAATATTTATCCCGTGGAATGAGCTGACTAAGGCAGCACCTTTTTTTTTGCGTAGTATTTGGTTTGAAAAGGTCTGATGGCAGAGGCTCCGCGTAAAAAATCGGCACTCATTCGTGTCATAATAGACTTAAAACTGACCCAAATCTAGTCTAGGAAAAGGTTCGGAGAAAAATAAATATAACATTTTATAGTACTTACATATTATTACATTATTATTTTTTTTAATTGCCAAAAAAAATATTATTCACCTGTCATATTAAGCGCTTCTTCGAAAGCGACTTTATTGGATTTCGGCACCATGTTTCACAATTCTACTTTCCCCCTCTATTATTAAAACAATGCGGGAACGTTCACATTTCCAGTTATTTCGCTACTGCGTCTATCATTCTGAATAAACACACTTTATAATCAAACATACAGTCAAGTGCGATGTTAAAACAACGAATGGGTTCCGTTCCACATTTTATTTAAAAAGATTGACTCTTATTTTAATAAGATAAAGATTAAAAAGTATTACATTTTATAGTACGTTATAACACTGTGTTAATTTGAAATATTTAAACTGCTACAATATTTATGTTATGTCAGATAATACGTTTATCGGTTTCTTTTTTCTTACGTTTTCTATTTTTAGTATCTAATTTAAGTTTATTTAATCTTAAGAACATGAGCGCGCACTAAGACAATTAAACACTAAGAAACCTACCTGATTAATTTTTTCGCATTACATCTATCCAGTTGGACAGAGGCAGACATAGGGCTATATTTTATCCATTAATCTTATTTAACAAGCAACTCGTTGCGGCGACTCTGTGTTTATAGTTTTGTTTATTTATATGTGAACAATGGAGAATTTCAATTAATTGTTTAAATAATTGAATTGAATTCTGAAAAACTATCAAACGGCAAGTCTTTGCAAGTGTCTGACGATTAAATTGTCTGAGATAAAAATCGCACGGCCTAAATTAATGCATATTAAATAATCAAACAAACCTATTAATAAATCGTATTTAGCGTCAAATTTTATATTAATTATATAAAATTTGACATTAATTACGAGAAATCAGTAAATTATTACATTTTCAATAACATTCAAGAACATGTGATTTGGAAAGTTGTCTGGTATGTAATCGGGATTGAGGAACACACAACTTGATTCCCAGGAAGGGAAAGAAGGGATTCAGGAAGGGTCATCTATAAGCCGTAGATGGCCCGAGGTACGTCGGTGTACCAGGGCTTTCCTTTCTAGGGTATACCTAGTCACCCGTCTACTGGTACCTGGAGACGGCGTGAAGTTTTTGGTCGGTTCGAGTCCGACAATCACCCACTGGTGGGTGGTATCCGAAGGGAGTTCCGCATAGAAAAAAACGAAGTCGTAACGAAGTCGAGTAGATAAAATTACAACTTGACACTATTTATAGGATAATATTTCGTTTGGCAAGGATGGGTAATTAAAATTAATACACTGGAATTGGAATAAAGGGTCGAGCAAAACAAAAACGCGATTCAAGTAGAAGGATAACGCTCTCTATCGAAATTTAAACAACATATTAATACTTCAGTTTAGAGTTTCAGACCTTTAACTATATAAACAAACCCTTGGATTTTAAAACTTCATTCTTTCAGTGTGTCTTCTAGTTTTACACTACATTTTATAGAATTGAAAAATACGTATTGTCCGTTCAATAAATAATTGTGTCAGAGTTTATTTCTAAATACTATTATGCATTTTTGTATTTTATTTATTTATTTATTTTATTAAGGACAACCGACAAGGCTTACACTAATTTGCATGTTAAGGTTACCATATTTTTACATCTTATAGTGTAGTCTTAATTGAAGGCTGCCACGGCATGCATTAAACATAAAAGTAGGAAATGCAGTTACAAAACTGATTAAGCTTATCCAGTAACATTAATACATAACAAATAACATTCAACATACAAATATATACAAAAACTTATTGATGCTATGGTTCGCGTTGTGGTTTTACTCGGAAGAGTAACAGCAAAAATATATTAATATATCCACAACTAATAATAAAAGAAAAAAATTCAAAATAAAAAAAACTAAATCTATGTGAAAGTGAAAAATACAACAGGTTGTAGTACCTGTTGTCTTTTAAATTCCTTTTTCACTTTTGGGATAATGCCCTATGCAAGACAGACCTAATTTTGTGTAAAGAGAAAGACACATCAATATCTTCAGTGGCAGGCGACTAAATTGAACCTGCTTTCAGTTAATGGTGGAGAAATAACCCAGGTTGGTTCTAAAGCCCTTAGCACAAAGCAACCTATATCTAGACATACGAGCAAGTTTGTATTTATCTGACTAAGTAAGCGCGGACAGTCAATATTTTGAATAGGTGTTCCTATTCAAAATAATAAGTATCCAGGAACAACCGGCGATTTTCCAGACTCATAAGTTTGAAATGCTTTAAACCAGACCTGTAGTTAGGCAATTTTCTGATCATATATGTATGACAATTGCCAAAAAATCTTTTCTGTACACCATCTTCACAAAGCTAAACATTAAATCCTGATATGATCTCTGTTTTTTTCAAGTCATGATCTATGATCTGGATAGAATCTTTTATCAACAAATAAGATAACTTTTCTTTAATTTAATAGGGGGTTCATTATAGGGGTGGTTACACTCCGTATTCTTAATCCGTCATTACACGTGCCTGATCGCATTAAGATGCAATCGCCGCGATTCCCTTCAATCGCGGCGTTGCAGTCAATTCCTCTAGGATAGGGCCTGATAAGCCGTGGTTTCATTTCCGGGAGGACCTGAAATTACAAGGTCCGGGTAATTGCAGAGTGGTTTTTAGTACAATTTTTCAACCCGTCAACAAAAAAAAAGGCATAGAAAACCTCCTCTCATTTTATTTTTCATTAAATAAGAAATCTACTTATCACTTTAACTAAATAATGATAACACTTATTAACACAGTTGTTTTAATGTCAACAGCACTAGATGAGGAATGAAATGGATTTGTATATTTACAGAAATGTTTTACACAATATTTTATTTATAACCGAGGAAGGAATATGGTTTTACCGATTTTGCAACATTTTTATCATGGGCTCCCCTACTATTATTATATCCTTTCTTAATAAATGAGCTATCAAATTCTAAAAGAATTTTCGAACCCGTTTTTTAAAAGATTTTGTTTAAAAGATGTGTCTCCGTGTGGTGACGGATTAAGAATACAGAGTGTCACCACCCCTGTTCACCCCGTGGGTGTTGTTAGATCCGACTAAGGGAGAAAACTCCTAATAACAACAGCACTGTAGAGTGATGGAAAACTTGACACAAACCCTATACCAACCCGTCTGGCCAATGTCTGGTAGTACACCAAAACCTCCTTTCTAAGGGGAAACCTATGTCCAACAGTGGACTATTAAAGGCTGTTGATGTGATGATGTGATTTTAAAAGTACAGGGCTTTCGACCAAACAAATAAATATTCATTCGTCATTCATTATTATGTAACTGTTTGTCTATCCTTAATCAAAAAAGTTTTGTCTTAAGGTTTGTTATAAGAAATCTCGACACCATACGTGAAGAGTAAAACAACATGTAAAAGTAGATACTTTTTTTATTTATTATTTTAAATAAAGCCATTTGATATTTAAGTAAGTATATTTTGAACATACCTAGTCGTGTGCAGAGTAGATTTCCATATTAACTAATATTAATATAACTAATATTAATAATGGGTATGACATGCCAGTTGGTACGTGTATTTATTATTTTTTATAAGTGATAACTGCTCTGCTGTTTATCATGGAATGTTGCGAATACGTAGTTGGGAAAGGGACATAGGAGTATGAGATTGTCCAGGAAAGTATTGTGATTCCAATTTCCATAAAGAGCAAAGACCTCAAGCCAAAAACGTACTCTTGAGTATCACGTATCCATGGCAGGTCTTAATCAGTCATCATTAGATGACCTGTCTGGTTATTTGTTGATCTTCATCAGCCTACCGCTATCCACTGCCTCTCGGGCAGTTCGCATCCATCCGCTCCCAGCCCGCAGGCCGCCCTATACTAAGTTTGCCATTGATGTCATAAGAATATCCAATTTCTGAACATTAATTTTGCCCTTTTTTGTCTTGTTTGTAAAATAACTACAAAATTAATTATAATTAGTTAAATACTTAATAATAATAAATTTATAGTTTGGGTAATAAATTCAAAGAATGAATGCAACTTTCAGTTTACACCACATGAAGTAAACAATATTTTATCGTACTTCAAAGTTTCGCTTTCGAGTTTACTGCGTTCATTGGCGTACTTCTATTTTTATTTTTAAAGTAATAATAGATAACGTTTATTTGTATAAATTACGCACAAGTATTTCCATATGGATACATTTCAGCTAAAACATACATACGCATAACACAATTTATCTATTATATGTTTGTACTTAGAAATATAAGCATGTTTATCAGCTGTATGGTTACCATATTACAGGTTATGCCTAGTTTGGGATCAGACGGCCGTGTGCGAGATGTGTGAGGTTATTATTATTAATTTGCATACCAGGTGGCCTATTTTACAGTCACTTTAATAGTCCAATTCCGAATTAAGCGTTATACACTGAAGGCATTGTTGTTTTTAAGAATAACCATGTATGTATGTATTGTTACGCCATAGGATTCAATGGTTCGATTAATTGAGAATTGTATGTGGAGGACAGCGCCATCTAGTATCACGTAAAGTACAACTATTGAGATTGTGATTGATAATTCTGGCAATTAAAGCTCTAGATGGCGCTGCAAGTAACGAATTGAACATGGGAAGTTACAATGATTCCTGTGATATAAAAATTTGGGATAGCTTTTCCATTATCGGCTTCTCGGCATGCATAACTTAACATTTTATAAATGACATACTTTAGGCATCTAATTACAACATTGTTCATATTTAGAGATTTAAGAATATCGTATATTATATTTATAACAATAAATTAAATGAAAAGAGGTGCATTTTATGTTAGTTAAAAATAAAATAACAACAGAATGTGACAATCATTTAAGATTAAAACAAACAGACGCAGATAAAACATATTATGTAGTCTTTATCATTTAAAAATTCGTCCATTGTATAGTACGCCTTTTGCAACATAAATCGTTTAACCATATTTTTAAAATTAATAAAACACATAATTTCTTTTAAGCGTTTAGGCAGATGGTTATAGACTCGTGGCGCCATGCAAGACAACCCACTTGTGACTTTCCTACTTATGTCCCTCCCCCCCCCGGGTTGATTGCCGCGCCTAAAAAGGCCCTATCCCGGGGAAGCCTCGGGCTTCACCCCGCCTATCGGCCCAATCGTTATATGTTGCAGCCCGATCGCATTTTCGTGACCAAGGTGCCATTCTATCGCCAACCGTAGCAGTTCATCTGCTACCAGAGGTCCCCACTCTCTGGCAGCCTACGGTCCCGTCTATGGCCGGTGTAGCCGCCGACGTCCTCTACCCTCGGCCCTAACCCGATCCCGTTCTACGTTCGAAAAAATCGAATGATAAATCACCGGTAATTCACTGTTCACTGTGATTTTGTGCCATGTATATTCTTGAGTTAAAGGTATCCATGGGAGGCGGCAAACACTATCAGGCGACCCTTCTGCTTGTTTGTCTGCATGCGCCATGAATAAAAAATACAACTTATATTTTTTAAATGTTTTTATTTACACAAAAAACCATAATGTAAAGTCTATTATTACACACTATGTATAGTTTACACTAATAGGATTTCATTATTATAACTAGTACAATATTCCTATGTTATAACGTATATTATACATCACAATAGTTCAGTTATATCATTTAATATAAAAAATCGGTTGTCTGTAAAGTCGGTTTACTGACGATAGTTGAACGTGACAACGTCATAAGAAAATACTGATGGAATGGTTGCATTTTACGAAAACATGTAAATGTATTATTGTATAGCAGCTGTCCACGCGGACGCATCGCTCACTCAAGTAGGAGAGAGACAGATGTCAAACGCTGCCGAACGCGGAGGCCGATTGTGCCTCTTTGGCGCTCGTTCCGCGCTCTCGCTTGCACTTCAAGCCTTAAATGGAACGCCTCAGAGCGAGGTAACGCCGCATGAGTCATGTTTTTTCGTTCGTGCAGCCGGCTCCATCGGATTATAAGACGTTGTCACGTCAAAAAAAAACTCGATACTAGAATGACGAACATCCATGCAACCGTTCATCCCTTCTTTCACCCCCCTAAGGGGTGAAATTAAAAAAAATACGAGTGTGCTTTAGACCACACGACTGAAGTAAAACTATACTATACTATATAAAATCACAGATAAAAGTTACTTAAACAACAATTAATGAAGATCCATCAATTAGATCGAAACAGTACATCGATCTTATTGGCTGGCATACATTGCCGGGTTTATTAAAATACATTATTCAACTGTGCTATCACAACGAAGCTTGAATAATGCCCAATCAAATTTATCACTACATGTCGACATTACTTTATAATTACGCAACTATTTCCGTTGTCATGTCGGTATTGTACTTGTAATTACGTTTTCGCGTAATCTCATTTACACTAGAATTTTAGATGTCGACTCAAGCGAAAAATGTTTTAGAATCTAAATGGATACTGCACGTTTTCCTGTCACAACTTCTCTCGACAACCATGAAGTTTGCAAGAATGTTGGAACGAAGTTCCTTATCGCGCGTTGTGAAAGGGGGCTAGACGGAAAAAATTGTTACGAAAATTGGTCACGACACTTTTTGCTATAGTAAGCTATTGTAAGCTGTGCGGCGTCGCATGTTTCTCTGTCTGTCTCTCTCTCTCTTATAGAAAGCAAGCCAGATATTTTCATTTCTATCTTTTTATGTCAGTCATTCAGCGCCATCTATCGAATAGATAGGAAATCATTTCTCAAGGAGATTTTACCAATGTATAAATTGTTTTAATTAGAAACCAACTGAAAAATATGTAGGTAATAGCCGCTTTCATAGATGGCGTTGTAATTAAAATGTGCCGAATCAGTTTTACTCGATCGTTACAACTTCGTTCCTATCGGGTGTCCCACGACACCACACGGCTTTTTTTAATTTTGGCTTTTTATTCTTGGTTATAATTACAATTGGCTTACATTTGATACTGATTATTAATACTATTATCACTTTTCAAGGTGTGTAATAATTTATAAATTGTATTGGTTATTACAATGTACATTTCGGGAATACTAGTTTGTGATCCAACGGGGGAGGATTAAAACGACCTAAAATATTTGTTTAAACTATAAACGAATAGTATTGGGACATCAAAACACATGAGTTAAATAGTATGTCTTTTCTGAACATGAATACAATTTACGAGAGTTTTAATTTCAATAATGAGTAATAAATAATACCCTGTTATATTTTTTTTTATAATTTTAGAAATTTAACGTGACAGTAATTGTCACGTTCACAGCTTTGGACAGTAGCTACATCGCTTAGAACATCATTTATCTGTCTACTTAATGTATCTTTTTTCTAAATTTTGGCACATTATCCCACCAACGCAGTGATCCTACATCTTCTATACAAAACAATGTACAAAAATCTCAAAAGGATTTTTGCCCAGTGCCTTTGAACTACTAGAACCCTTACTAAAATAACTATATTTTACTTCAAGCAGAAATTGTCTTGGATACAGCTTGTGCAGGCGATTTGTCTGGGGGTAAGAACCAGGCAGCTATTGCACTACCTAAAATAAAATACAAAACACGTTATTAAAACAATGTAGGTAACATAACATAATAATAATATATAATCAATGCGAGAAATTACATTGTGAGATGCAGGGATAGTAGTAACTACCTAGTTCGACTTGTCTTCACTAGATGGCGCTAAATTTAAATTTAGCTGTAAATAAATATCGCCACGAATTATCCATGTATTTTCAGAGTATTCTTCATAAGAATTACGTCATCATTACTAACGTCTTATTTAATATTCCAAGATATGCGTATTTTTATTGTTATTCGTTCTAATTTCAACAAATAAATTTTTAATCTCATATGTTCTCTAGTACTTACTAAGCACAAGCAAGGACCACATGTAAAATGTGATTTGACAATAGTTGAAGATGAGGTTCCCAACCACGTTGATACCAATGAAGGTGCAGCTACGACCCACCATTATGCTTAGGCAGGCCACCATACCTCTGTAATAAAAACGAAGACAACCGTAAAAAGTGTCATATTATTTTTATTTTGTTAGAACTCAACAATTTTAGTTTATCTTTCCAGTTCCTTAAATCAAATCTGTAGTTATTTGTAGTTTAATTAAGTCACAGGTACCTATAATATATAATATAGTGAGAAACTTCACTGGCTAGTTAGTGAATACTAAGCCAGAGGTGGGGGGAGCGATTCCCACCCAGGACAAATGATTATGTGATAAGCACAATCATTTTTTCTGTGTCTGAGTGTAATCAATCCATAATATACAGGGTGTAAGAGACATTGTGAGCCGAAAATCCATCTATTTTATCAGAGTTTTTGACCGCCAACTTGTGTTAGTGTGCGTAGACTGTATGCACGGAATACAAATGTAGTTACTACTTTTGTGCGATACCTACGGGGAATGATCTTAAGCTTTGACAGCTGATTGCATAAAACGTTTAATCTTCGTTTAAAATTCCAATAATTTTCGACTCAGAATGATGGTCTCAATACACTATTTCAGTATTTGCTACGACTTCCCTTACACCCTGTACCTATATATGTAGAAATACATAAGTACATTTATCAGCAGTCTTGTTGTCATAGTGCGGGCTCAGCCTAGTTTGGAATCAGACTGCCATGTTAGAAATGTCTGAAGTTATAATATTATTACTCACCTATATGATGTAGGATAGATATCCACAAAATATGAAGCCAGGATGCCCATTCCAAGACACGTACAAGTGAACGCCATGAAGAAGAAAACACTGGAAATCGGCTCAGGAACCAGGTTCAAGCAGACTCCACTGATAGCAGAGACACAGAGGATTGTGATCAGGACAAGACGACGGCGGTTTGGGAGGTAGGAGATGAGGAAATTGATGAACGCAAAGACGGACTGAGAGGCGATTAGAGTGATGATTACGTTCTTTTCCACTGTGCTTACGCATACTTGAGATAGCTGGAAATTATACAGAAAAATAGTTTGATTTAAACCGGTGTTAGGTGGGTGTACCGTGACACAGTTATGACTCTTTGGGTTGCTGGAGTCCATGGCTTTCAATAGTCGCTTACCAACAGTTGACCCGTCTCCTCGTTTTGCCCCCTATACCATAAAATCAAATATGTTTGAGTTCTTGTAATATCTTCCTGTTCAAATCATATTGAGTTCTGGATAACTGAAAACCTTTTTGTCTTGAGATATTCTGAGGTATTTCAACATCATCTTATGGTCAAGTACAATTGTGTCTATTGGCCTCCAACAGCTTTTGGAAAAGAACTGAGGTTTTAGAATGATTACCTCAAGAGGATTGGCGTCCGTCAGGCAACCGCCCATATAAGAAATTGGCCCTTTGCATGTTAAACATAATAAGGTAATTTCAATTGACTGCACGGATAGCGTAGTGGTTTAAGCGGTCGAAACGCCGCTTCCTACTACGCCGAGTTATGTGGGTTCAAACCGCACATGGGACGACACCAAATTGTGGTTCTTTGTGTCCGTTTCATGTATGTAAAGTATCCTGCGACACAGGATATATTCCTAATGTGGGAGTTGTCTTTTTGAAAAAAAATAATTAAAAAAATAACCCTAACAAAATTGGTAGAAAATGAGGTGATGCCAAATTATTAAAATATCTAAGGCCCTTTTAATTGCTTACTATTTTTTGTTTGCGAATTTGCTCAATTAATATCTTAACCGTCTCAATAGGACTTACCGGTATTTCGTGGAGAGTGGAATTTGTGTCCACAGCAAGCACAGGTTTGCTACTAATCAAGTGACAAATGTTGCCAGAGTCATAAACGTCGCTCTCCATAGATAATCTGATGACGTTCAGAATATGAGGTAGCCATATTAAGAAGCTGTTGTTTCTGTTAAATAAAACAATTCGAAATTTAAGTGTCAACGGCGATACGTACTACATACATTAACTAGATATATTTACAATTTTTAGATAAAATTAAATTGGAATCTTGTTCAAATCTACTAACACTTCCTGTTAAATATAATTCAGAGTTTTTTTTATTAAATCGGTAACGTGTTAAATTATGAATATTTTATTATTATCATTTTGAAACTGAATTGAACTAATTAAATTATAGTTCCTAAATTCAAAACTAGCTTTTTAAGGTCAAATTTATTGTAACAACCATAGAGATATAACCTAGAGAGAACAATCTTGAAATATAGGCAACAAGAGAGATGGATAGATAGTCCCTTCCATCTCTTTCTAGTCGAGCTTAGTGGTTGGCTGGGGAATATGAGGATTAAAAAATAACCAATCGCAGCTTAGCTAAACAGAGACAGAGGGAAATATCGGCCATCCATCTCTCTGGTTGCCTATATCGCTTCCACTTACAGGAAGCTGTACCCCGTGATCTCATCATACCTGATACAAAACCGCTCCTAGAAGCCTGTGAACGCCCCAGGAGGCTTCTGCGCTTCTAGAAGGAGCTTAGTTGGCTCATTTAGCCAACTTTTCCTCGACGCATAAAGGACCACAGTTGAGTCTAAATGCGGAAACCGGAGCCCACAACCAATACCAACACCTCATGTTCTCTCTACGTTTATATTTATTTACTGATTTACATATAATGCACATTTGGTGCATTGGCGGACTTAATGCCTAAGGCGTTCTCTAGCAGTCAACCATTGAGTGATGGTTATTCTCTATGGTAACAACAGAGTGTTAACCTTTTTTTTAACAGATAAGGTTTTACATATTTTAAGGGTCTCAAAGTTCCTCACACTTGTTATATTAAGTACTGATAGGATATAAAACCTCACGTGATGTAAACAACTGCAACTATGTAGAAAAGCTGGAGGCTCCTCCATAAGTATGGTGACCTGAAGAGGGGGGCGCTCTGTTCATACATAGCTTTTAGAAGAGACATCTTCTTCTTTGTGCCTTGTTCTTCTAGTTTTAATGAGCTAACCTGCAATAAGAATAAATAATGCGTGTATTTTCCTAAATATTTGAGGAAATAGATTGTTGCTGTTGTGGGAGAGTATTTACTTTAGAGGCTCCATAAAAACGAATCAAATAATACAGGCCAACAAAAAAAAACTCAGAAACCAGAGTATATTTTCCCAAAGGATTTTGGTGCACTGAATACAAATCAGGCCGCAGAAGTTCCCTATCATTTTTATCATGTCATGGTTTTGAGATATTCTAACCTAAGTTTTGACAAGTTAAGTTGAGTTAAGCTAAGTTAAGTTTGACGACTGGATGGCGTAGTGGTTTGTGTAACGGACTGCTATTACAAAGGTCGCGGGTTCGATTCCCGCTCAAGTCAAATATTTGTGTGCATGAACATTTGATGTTTGATTTGGTCTGGGTGTTTCTATGTATTATATGTATGTATTTACAAAAAAAAAGTATTTATGTATTTATATCAGTTGTCTAGTACCCATAGTAAGCTCTGCTTAGTTTGGGACTAGATGGCGTTGTGTGTATGTGGTAGAATATTATTATTATTATTAAGTGCAAAAAAGCATTTTTACTCATATTTGAGGTCACGGAACCCTTCATAATTTATTATGCCTAAAAAGTACACAGAGTATCTTAAAGTTCAAGTCTTTAGCTTTGCAAATTGCGTTTTTTGCGCTTTTATATTAGAATATCTCAAAAACCTGAAGTGATAGAGCAATTCTGTGGCCAAATTTGAATTCAGCGCACCAAAATCCTTCAAGAAAGTATACTCTGGTTTCTGAGAAAGAAACTTTGTCAAATTTTGTTGGCCTGTGTAATTTTAAAATTGTTTATAAAATAAAGGTATTCTACACTAGGTCAACAGGCTTGTCGATATAAACCTCGACTATAGTCAAATAACCGTCATAATATAACGACAGACAGCGCGGAGTGAGATTTTCACAAAAATCAGTCTTTAAGAAACAGAAGCAGTAAGCGGTTCTCTATACCTCTGAACTAGCGACATCTGCGTATTGCCAAAATTCTATTCTCGTAGTAAAGGTACTTTCTATTTCAGGTAAGAATGATTCTAAAAACTCAGAGTAAATCTAAAATAAATTAAAAAAACATAATTAGTTTAAATTAGTACCGGAAATTCCTCCTTAGATCCTCTGTGGTTGACAGCATAGATGTATTTCAATACTTCCAGAGCTTCTTCTTGTTTGCCCGAATTAAAAAGAAACTTGGGTGATTCACGGAAGAAGTAGATAGCTACGGCTCCGATTCCGGAAGGCAACGCCAGAACTATGATCAGTAGTCTCCAGGGTCGATAGACAATACCCAACAGTGATATCTCAGCCGCAAAGTCCAGTTTAAGAGTTGGGTATGTCACAACTGGAAAAAAATAGGATTTTTTTTAGAATTAGTAATTTTTATAGAAATTCAGTCCGTCACAGTTCTTAGGCTCTGCGGTAAGAGATAGTCAATTTTAAAAGCAATTCAAGTCGCTAGGTTGGAGAGCTATTTTTACTCTAGAAAGTACTCCTATACGATACAGTTTTTCTTCGGTAAATAGTATGCAAAACTTAAGTGGCATCCCGAGCTCGATTCAAGCGTTTTTTGGTTCACATCAGCAGCCTTTACTAGTCCACTGCTGGACATAGGCCTCTCCTTAGAAAGGAGGTTTTGGCCTACTATGCCACGCTGGCCAGACGGGTTGGTATAGAGATTGTTTTAAGTTTTCCTTCTCTCTGCAGTGCTGTTGTCCTGCATAGTTTACTCCCTTAGTCGCCTTACGGTTTTGGTTAATGGAATTTATTGTTAAGACTACTGAAAGTAGTAATGATCTTCTTCAGATTGCTATAAACTCTAAACACTCGTTCATTTACTTACTGAAAGCAAAAGCTGTGTAATTTTGCAACAAGTAAACATATCCAGCATATAGCTGTTAAAGTTATGGGACCAAAATTCTCACGTTTTAACCAGTATTAGCAAAACAATGTGGTCTGATATCAACCTTTCACTCAGTCTACATATAATAACAATGCAAGGCGCATCTTACGTGATACAAATCTATGACACGCTTGCCATTTTTAATCAGTTTTTATTTTATTTTACGTTAATCAACCTAAATTTAGTTGGTTTTCTTTCCACACCCATTTTAATTTCACTTCGTATAATTAGAAACTAATTTCAACCTGTATATTTCATCATGTGTTTACTCTAAGAACTTTTACCAAGGTTATTCATGACTAAAAGCCTGTAAAATGAGTAGCAGTAACATTACTTACCACCAGCGACTGCTGGAGACAATAATATAAGGCAAGTCATCAGGAGCATGTATTTGTTCCTCACTCGCTGGATACATGACTCTCCTACTAGGGTATAGGTTACGGAGTTGGCTGCACACGCACTGAAAGTAGATCATAGTATTAAGTATTAGTAAGTAAGTATTAGTAGAATGTCTTGAACAGTGTTTTTTTAATACAAGGTTTTACATTTTTCCAATTGACGGAACGTCACGTCACGACACGGGCCAATCTTTTAAAAAAACTAATCGTTTTTTTTCAAGTCTTCCTGCTCTTTGCAGTGTGGTTATCCAGCGTAGTCCGCTCCCTTAATCGGTTCTTACAACACCCACGGGATGAATGGGGTGACACGCCGTATTATTATTCCATCACCACACAGACAGTACATCTACCAATTTGTTATTAACAGGGACTTGCCTGACCTGACTGAGGAACCTCTTCTGAATATTGTAACATCATTATTTATTAATTGTAAAGTACATTATTGCTCACAGTATAGGTACCATGTGCATAATAAAATTGTATAATGGAATGTCTTGGATAACAGTACCGTAATTTGATAATTTGGAGCTTATTTGATGATTTAACTCGGAGTCCGATAGTGGAACTCTTGATTGGATATTACATAATCCCTCGAGATGAGGCATTTGATTAATTATGGACAAGTTTAACAGATTGGGAGAGCCACGCCTCGGTACAAATGGGCCGGCTCGACCGGAGTGATACCACGGCCTTACAGAAAACCGGGGTTAAGCAATTTTTTTGTTGCCTTTCACTGAGTGAGTGAGGTTACCGGTGCCCAAATCCCCCTCCCGCTGACTCGAGCGGGAGGGACTCCAAGGGCAGCAACGCACTTGTGACTTTTGAGTTGCAGGTGTCCACGGGCGGCGTTAGTTGCTTACCATCAGGTGACCCGTCTACTCGTTTGCCCCCTTATACCATAAAAAAATTGGACTTAATAAAGATGGAAATTTTACTTCTAATTTGAACCGCGATGTCTTTGTTAACTTTTACCTATCAAATCACTTATTGTTTACCATTCTGTTTATACTCTTTAACTGATAAGTATCTGCTAAATGGATGTATTGCCAAAGTTACAAAATACCATCTATCATCATTAATGTTATCATCTTTAAATACGTCTTACGCCTCTTCAATAAATATTGAACATTTTGATCTTAAATCTATGTTTAAAATATATATTTCATAATTCAGAAGATCCTGTTTATGTAGTTTGAAAATAAAACCATTGAGTCTCTCGAAAAATTCCTTTCGTACAATGTATATATTGTGTATACAGCATACCACTTGACATTCTCAATTAATGTGTGGGTGTATGTGACTCGGTATGATTGGTACAATTAAATGGGTCAAATTAATAAATTCAAAGCATATGTAAGCAAGAATTATGAGTTTTCAAGATGATGGAATAATACTACCCCTAAGAGTGAAAAATGTTGGAGTCAAGAATACAATTTATTCCAGTTTATCATAGTGTAGGTGCATTACAGTCAGTGATACTTTTTAAAAGGTGATTTTCTTTTACATATATCTTCATTAGCATGTAAACATCAAGTACTATTAAACACATTACCAACTTAGATAATAAAAGCATTGATTAATATGATACTTCTGAGTTGAACAAGTTAAGCATATTGTAAGCGTCATAGCTGGGCCTCAATTCTGCTATTTTATGTTCACGTCAAGCCACTGTCATACCACTGACACACTATTGAGATGTCATCGAGTGGCCATTGGCATCGGTATAAATATCGGTAGTCTACACTAACTCAGTGTCTTTACAGTGGCGATGGAATGCCATATTTGGAAAAATAAATAAATCGTTTCCTCAAAACAAAGTAATACATTTTCAAATTATAAGGAAATGATCGATGGCATCTCAAAAGCGTGTCAGTGGTATGACAGTGGTGACACATAAAATAGCAGAATTGAGGAACTGTTCACATGACTGGCTTTGCCTAGGACCAACGAATTGTACTGTTATTGGCATTAATTTTTGATTGACCGTTTTAATTGGCATTTCAAAAGAGATTTACGTAATAAGCTTTTTAAAAATAAAGGAAGACAAATTAGTTCTACTCAAAGCTGGTCTTACTGAAATAAAAAAAATACTACGACTAAAGGTGGAATATTAAGAGATGAAGAATTGAGAACACTACGATTTATCATGATTTATACACACTGAAGGCAGTGATACTATTGTTATCGTTCTATTACCGGTTTCATTAAAGGTTCTAGCTTAATACCCCACAAAAGTGCTCAAGTCAAAAAATATATATTTTAAATGTTACTTACAAACAAACACAGAAGAATTTAGCGACTCCTAGGAAGATCCAATGCGGCGACAGACTGCTGATGCAGGACAGTATGAAGGATATCATGAGGGGCACCACCAGGGTGAATCGTCTCCCCCGGGTGTCGGAAACGTAGCCCCAGAAGAAGGAAACCAATAGAATACCTGGAAATTATTAAATTATTTGAATAACATTCATCATTTTTTCTTTTCATTCTGGGTGTGTTCCTGGGAACTGATGTTGCTTCTGGTTTACAGGAGTTACAGTAGTGGGCATGTGGGAGAGATTGGTGACCAAAATTATCTGTATAAATCAACTTACAATTATTATATTGTTAATAACTAGCCGTATCCTATCTCGCTTCGCTGTAGCATATTGTTGTTGCATAGATGAGAAATGAGTAATGAAACTGTTGCGAAAAAATATATAAAACTATCTTTGGATCGATTTGTATATTGTATTGAAATATGAGCTCAATCGGTGCAAAACTTTTTGAGTTTTTAAAGCGTACACAAACCAACAAAAGTTTTAATTAAGGGACTTAGGGTAGGAGGGTGAAAAACAATTAATTTGAATTTTAATATACTGTGAAAGACCGTGTGCTTTTAGTCGGTCCGATTCCGACACACCATTCTGCCGTAAAACCCGGCAGGTTGACGGCCCGAAGGGTAATCCCTTCAGGCCGTAAAAAAGGAGGGTGAGACTCCAGACTTTACGCCCAATGTCAATGCAATACCTACCAAATAAAACATTAAAATCGGTCGAGCCATGTCGGAGGAGTACGACCACAAACACTGTGACACGAGATATTTATAAAATTCACTTGAGTGGTCCTTTCCAGTAATTAGATAATGATATGATGATGATAGCTTCAATTGTCTGTGACAAAGACAGAACTTAATTGGAAATCAGCATTGATTTGGGCAGTAATCATTTTCTTTGGGCGTTCATTACGGTATACTCCGGTTGTGAAGAAATATTTTTTAAGTAAGAAAGCGCCTGCTATAAATCCATTAGTTCTACTGACATTAACGATGATCAGCCTTTGAGCAGGCACGTTCTTTAGGATGTGTGTTGTGAGCACATACGATTAATCTGCTTACACAATGTCTCCGCTTTCTTTTCGGTTTCTTTTTACTTCTCTAACTCTATCTCTTTCACAGAAATTTATGTCTATTTATTGAAATTGAAGTCGTGTCGTCGAAAAAAGGTGTACAAGTTTCGTATTGGCCACGATTTTGCCGAGAAATGGATCGACCAATAACAGTGCAATATTTATAACTTGAATGGTAAGTGGTAACTTTTCCAATGGCAGATCGAAGTTCTCCGCCCTACTAAAATCAGTCATTGCGAGGAATTATCAGTGATTTAAAGCTGTGACAAAATTCTACCTAATAAATGAATATAAATAAATAAGTTAAATTGAACATAGGTACTTATACAAATTGACGTCATTCGGGTTACTGACCTAATAATAAACACTGAGAATGATCTATGGAAATAAATACTAATGGCGAACTGAAATCAATAGTGTCATTGTTCCAGTAGATCGGGCGTCTCCTGCTTAACCAGATTCTTATGAGTGAGTAGAAACAATGACCTAGAACGACCGAGCATTGCCCCAGGTGAGATCAAACCTAGTTGGGTACCCACAAGTAAAAAAAAATTATGTAAAATAAAGGTCAAGTCCGATTAAGGCGCAAAATTCACGAGGACATAAAATGTATAATTAAAATGAAGGTGACATTAAATTAACCTAAAATTTTAATGACATTATAAAACTAAAAGGAATTATGAATTACACATGGTAAGGTTTTGTAATGTATAATAACTCGGGTAAAAGGTTCCACGGCGCTCATACTCATATCATACTCATACTCATATTCATAAAATATTTGAATTTTCTCCTTCAATACATTGACAGCAATCAAATTTACCTATAAGAAATCAAATGGTGCTAAATATCATGATCATTTGATCACCAAGGCGAGTGAAAACGTGTGAACGTGACACCATCTTAGGAAAGAAACATGTCATCCACATCAATATCATCCAATGTAGGCACTTTAAGTTTGGGACACCCGTTATAAACCTTCCAATCTAATTAACTTATCCAATTTTGCGGTGGAGAGCCTTACTTTGGCACAAATGGAGCGGGTCTACTGAAGTGGTAACCCGCAATCTCAAAAAACCTACTCCTATATCTTGGAGAGGGGGGGGGGGGGGGCAGGCTTAAAGGGTAGCAATAGACTTGTGACTCTTGAACAGCGGCAGATACTTACCATCAGGTGATCTGTATAATTGTTTGTCCTTATACCATACAAAAAACCTTTATTTACTTTTGATCTGTCAGAACATCCTGCCTTGCCTGAATAGACATCCTAGTGTTGACGGATTAAGAATACGGATTGTCACAACCCATGTTCATTCCATTGGCAAGAGCCAACCAAGAGAGCAAACTACACAGAACAACAGCACTGCAAAAAGAAGAAGGAGGAACTGGCTGGCTGGATTCTGGCTTTCAAGGAGCATTCATAGGCTTCTAGGAGCGATTCGGTATTAAGGATGATACTAGCCCGTTGAGTTTAATTTACTAACGCTTCTGAACACACATTCGAGTGTGTAATGCAAGAGAACGAGAAAGAGAGACATGTGGTATCAGTATCAAAAGATAGGAGTCGAAGAAAAGTTGTTTACCTGTTTATAATAGAGATGCGGCAGCTTCTAAATTAAGCTCAAAATATTGACGTTAATTAATTATTACCTAAACACTAAAATATTAATAAAAGGCTGTTGTATTCTGTTTGCCGCGTCCATTGTTCACACGCAACGTCACTTGATATTTATTCTAATTGGTGGTCCTTTATTACAATGTTTTTCTTTATAAAATAAACGGAAATTGTAGGCGCCTTGGTAAGAGCAACCTTTTTGTTTTGCTCTTGAACGTTCTAGAAGAATATAAACATGACATGTCTGTTGATCACAATTTTTTTAAGGAAATTCATATTTCAGTTTTCCGTTTGCTAAGCTTAAAAGTATTATATTTGAACACTATCAGGTTGTTTTTTTTACAGATAGAGTTTCTTTTTATCTCGCTTCTAAAACATGGCTAGGTTATCTCCAAATTACAGAAGAAGAAATTTGACAAATGTCGCTATGTGGCCGCTGCAAACGACCCGAGACAGACGACACTCCGGTGCGGCCGGGAAGTTTTGTCCATGGCGGGGCGCTGTTGCGCCTCCTACTGTATAGAGTAGTGAAAGGCGCGGCAGCCTCCCGCCCTAGGGTGACTACAGTCACCCCGGGATGTGCCTCAGACATGGGGTACGGCAGGGAGGACTCCAGAAGCCGCCGATGCGTTCCTGGACGTCCTCCTGACTGCCGAGGTAAGCCGCCGCGGGGTTTAGGGGGTAGACCGGTTCTCCGGGTCTCCCACACACGCCCTGTGTTTCCCCAACGGAGGGTATGGTGCGAAAAGCATTCCCCGCGTTAAAAAAATAAAAATAAAAAAGGAACATCAGGCTCAAGATGATGAGCATAACGTCGTTTAAGACATGATTGTAATATACCACGAGTACGTAAATCATAACACAACCAACATCACACTCGACGGGCTCCAAGATTTTAAGATTTTCTAAATTCTGGAATTACCTCCCCATTCCCACCTCAAATCTATACTTTGTTTCATCATCATCATCAGCCTTTAATAGTCCACTGCTGGACATATGACGCTCTTCTTAGAAAAGAGTTTTAGTAGAACTTACTTTCTTAGGTACTTGGTTTAATAAAAACTATTTTTAACCGACTTCAAAAAAGGAGGAGGTTCTATGTTCCACTGTATGTATTTTTTTGTATTTTTTTTATGTATTTTTTATTACCTTAATACCTAATATAATTTTACAAAAAAAAGTTTAAAGTATTTTTACTAAAGTTTATTCAAGATTTGCTTACTTTTAGTCAAAATTTAGGTCTTAGGCTTAGGTTATAAATTTTTAAAAGACACAGCTGCTCAGCAGTAACATGAATTGCTCATTTTCGTTAACAAATTTTGTGTCCTACCGCGATTGTATATACAACAATTATAATAAAAAAAGCCGTGTGGTGTCGTGGGACACCCGATAGGAACGAAGTTGTGACGATCGAGTAAAACTGATTCGACACGATTTTAATTACAACGCCATCTATGAAAGCGGCTATTACCTACATATTTTTCAGTTGGTTTCTAATTAAAACAATTTATACATTGGTAAAATCTCCTTGAGAAATGATGTCGAATACAATATTTTTTGCTCAACCTAAGAACATAAATTTTAATTTTACTGAGATGAAAAGTAATGATTTCCTATCTATTCGATAGATGGCGCTGAATGACTGACAAGTGAGAATTCAAAATAAAAAGTGTTGTTACAACTCTCCGTGAGAATTTTTTCCGTCTAGCCCACTTTCACAACGCGCGATAAGGCACTTCGTTCCAAAATCTGTGTTTTCTATGGCTCCATCTTTGTCAGTTGCCAAATGGAAGACTCAATAGAAGCAAGAAAAAAATGACGAATGAAAATAGTCATAAAACTTTAGTGATAATAAAGGTAGTTTATATTTAAGCAACGTCTATCCTAGGCACTTAATGTAGGCTTAATATAGGCTTAATACTGGAGGAGCTATCTAGGTCAGTTACTTGACTTAACAACTTTAGGCGTTCAAAAATTCTTAAAAACACTTGTATATCTTATTGTTTGCGCTAACTAAGTATTCATTCATTCATTAATTAATGTAGAACAAATAATTTATTCATTAAACTTTAGACATCAAGCATAAAATCGTATATTATTTCTGGTTGTATGTATACAACTGTTTTAAAGATACTGATATAACCTTATAAGCAATTTCGCTGAAGACAATATCTCAAAACAAATGAAATTCATCTATTTCTATGAGATTTATTGAAAATTTAACCGTAAACTTTGAAGCTGAAGGTTGTTTATCGTAAACTAGCTTTCGCTGGTAGATTTCATGTTGATTTTCTCAAAAGATTTCTTGAGCAGTAGTTTTGTACCAGGATACGCGTATACAAAATTTAATTATGATTGGTTTGGACAGTTAAGGTGTGAAGAATAACAAACAAAAGACTCATTTTCATATTTAAAATATTAATTAGGATTAAGTT